CTTCTAAGATAAGGCTTTTTATACGTACGTGCTTACAGGCCGTCCATTATCCAATTGGCATAGGTGAAAGCAGTTGACGTGTCATTCATCACGTTTTCTGTCTCAAACACGACGACTTCGTCTTAAGATATTTTGTAGGGTATGAATTTGCCTTTGACAAGTTCATATTTGCAGCCAGCAAAGGGAAGTCACCCTGCGTGCTTCCCAAAGAACAGTGACAGCGGAGTTGGCCAAGCAGAAGCCCTCTCATCAAATTAACTGCACTTTCCACCTCGCCTCACTTCACACCACCTCCATCTCCACCTTGGCTACCAGACTGCTAATAAGTCACCTAAAGTAGCGCTCCAACTGATTTGGAAAGTTGCGCGATCCACCCACGTTATTTACCCAGCGCGTGAGCACAGTGGAGCAGTCAAGGTAGCGCCTTGCACAGAATAGTGAATTGCAAACTAGCCTCCTTTGCAAAGATCAACATGCCGATGCACGCAGATCCAAGATGCATTAATTAAACAATTTCTATGCTCATCTTCCTGCACGCAATTTTGGCCTCTTAGAAAGGCTCACATGAGGCTCAGCTTTTAAGTTAACTTCCAATTGAAATGCTTTTTGTTGGCCAACCTGACAGTCACGGTGAATCGAAGAATACAAATAGACTCGCTATCAGTATCACACATACGTGCCACCTGCACTTCATCTGGCTATGCTAACTGCTGTTTGCAATAAATCGTATGGGCAGAGATTGGTTGGGGATGAAAAAGAAAAGGCTAAAAATGGATGTAAAATGATGCCCCTAACCTGGAGAGGCAGCAGCATTTGTCCAGCTTCTGATCGCCATATCTTCAAACTAGGCATGTATTTTAGGGGATCTCTTGATATCCAGCGTACAAAAGTCCTACTTTGAAATTCCTGTCCTCTTAATATTGAGATTTTCGATATATGACACTTACAAATAGGAAGTAGATTACGGAAAACCCGCGCAAATTTGGTATAAATGTAATAAAAAGCAAAGAAATAGATTAATAAGCTTAACTTACTTTTAGGTCCCAAAATGCAGTGAAAAGAAAAAGAAAATTGAGAAAAAAAGCCCATTTCTGGATGGATTTGGGGTGTGGCCTCATCTCCCAACCCAGTTTCTCCACCCGCACCATTACTATCCACACATCCAACCACCTGCGCAATATACAAGACATCGGCAACTGCGAAGAAGCAGAAAAAGAGGAGGCAGATCTGTAGCACCAAAGCCAACGTTTACTTCTATCCAACAGTGGCGGGAATGGCATTTAAAAGTGGTAGTTGTTGAGACCCTATATGATGTTTTCATTGTCATTTACCTCCTTGGTGATCCGTCAACACACATTTCCCCTTTCTGTCATGACCAAAGGTGGAACAAAAGATTTGCTGGGATTCACACTTATAATTGTGTGGGAGAGTGAGGAAATGACAAAGAGATGGAAGGATATCGAGTGGGAAGAAGCTTAAGGTAACAGTACAAACATGAACTGGACAAGATGGAGGGATTTTGGCACAGTGCACTGCAATTTGGCCTGTTGCCACCTGAGGGCACATGAAGAAGTACAAGTGCGGGTTTGTCCTCGCACAGACATGCGGCAGTCTATTCAACTATCAAAGCGCGCTCCATCCTTCCTATCGCCTTACCGAAGTTTGCGATCCATTTTAACGGTAAGCAGACGAACCCATCATTGGTTATTCCCCCACTAGCATCCACTCACTACCCACCAAATACCTCCACAACAAGCACCACTTCAGCCCTGCAAGACCAGCCTTCCTCTGAGAGCTTTTTCTCATCCTAACACAGTCCAATCCAACTTCACAGTTTGCAAGAAGCACTACTCCTCCTTCTTCACCTCCAGAAGCATCCACTTGCAATACTACTCCTTCAGTAGAAGGGATGAACCCTTTTCCCAGACCAACGCGTGCTTCAGAAGATGAGAGGAGTTGATGGTGAGGGGAAAGGGAGATAAAGAAGTGCCTTCCCATCTTGAGGCACATTCTACGCATTTCCCCATTCCTCTCCACGTGATAAAAATTACTTTTCTTGGCACGTGGGAATCGCATGTGAAGTACACTCGACAACCGGCAAACAGAGGTGAGATGAGAAACAAGCATAAGGTCCCCCTTGAAAACGACTTCTTTTGCTTCGCCTCCATGCCTAACACAATAGAATCTCTTCAGACAAGTAACGGCACATCATTGCTCTGTCCTTTTTCTCACTCACATAAATCATTTTTGATTTACAAAGGAAGATTAAGAAGTGACGTGGTTTATTTTCTGCTCCATTAAAACAAAAATTGTCTGGAAGGCAAGGATCCAATTCGTTTTAACAACATTCGCTACCATGGCTAATGAACACAGCATCGATTTCCAAGGAGGAGACAAGTTATGACCGCCTGCTTACACCTACCCACATAAACCATTTATCTTTTGTAAGATCTCAGTATCACACCACCTGATGTTGCCCCTCCAGCCAATCCTCCGTACGCAAGGGACTGAAATCAGATGTGCAATAGAAAAAAACGAGAATTTTATAATGATGGCAGAGTCGGCAGATATCGCCTTCCTTTCTTTGCCGAAGTCTAGAAATTAACTTGAGCAGTCCAGACTCAATGTCTGGCGCTACCTCCTCCGTCCCTCAACACCTCTTTCCACCCCAACAATGCGGAAAATTCTATGTGCACTTCTCCAGAAACTGTTCTCGGCCACTCTAAAATTTGGGGTAACCCCACCCACTGCCATTGAGGAATGTGGCAACCCATTGCCCCAAATCGTCATCATGCAGGCAACACAGATGCAAACCAGAGAGTCTTTTCCTCGCGACTAAAATACGAAGTTTATGTTAGGAGTCTACAAGAAATGACAAAACACATCTTCCGTTTCGCATACCTCCAACAAGAGACCAGAGATTCACCATCGTCCAGTTCGACCACAGTCAATCAAGTGTTTTCCTACTTTTCCTCACTTTTCTCCAACACTTATCACTTTCTTTGACTGATCTACCAGCTGCCATTCAGATCATCAACTTCATCGTCCCATTTGTGACACATATATGTGACGCTAGATGACGAAGATGCAAATAACTTACCGTTTCTGGTTACTACAGGATATCCATTGATAGCCACAACTTGTAGGACTTGAGCCCCGGGTTCTATCCCACCGGTGCCACTACCGCCCCCACTGCAAATTCGAATTTGGCGTCCGCTCTCTCGAGCCCGATCTGTCACTGAAAAAAGAACATGAATAAAAAACAAAATTAAGTGCTATGAAAATACATTGGATAGAAGCAGTTTTACCCGCCTAGCCGGACTTTTGCATAATGGACCTTTATTGTCCTTTTTGAAAAAAGAATATTTACAGTTGGAAGGACAAATAGCAGTCTGGCGAATCAAGAGGCGTTGAACGTGACAAGAAATGCATCCAGCTAGCCAAATGCTACCTTGGGCTGCAGAACGTAAAACGCTGATAATGGAATGAAATTGTATGCAAATAGTATCAGAGGGGAAGGGAACAACAGCCGTCTTTTCCTACCCCACTTATAGTCAACAGGTAAATCTGCCTGCCGACTTGTCCGTCTGTTTGGACAAAATCTGGGCAGCAGGGTTCAAAAACCCTCTTCTTGATGCAAGGAAAGCCCACTACTTTGGGTGGCAGCGACCACGAATTAATAAAAATATGGCATCATGAAATTGGAAAAGGCAGAACATTATGCTTAACTGAAGGGGCTGACAAAAGGGCCAAAAGGAATGATAGTGGATCCACCTATGGTCTGATTTGTGCAGGTGATTGACAGGAAAGCAGTAGTTACATCCATGGTAAAGAAAAATGCCATTTCTTCCCCACTCCAAGGGAGAAATTTTCAATTAGTTTTCTGGTGATTCTAAACGCTTTCCCCTGTGGACTTCTGCAATCTCTCTTATCTTCAAGCCAACGTCTATATCGTTGGTTAGGGTCCATTGATCTGCTACCAACTGCTAACTCTGCAAGCGGAAAGCGCGCACCATGCCACCGTCCAGACAGGATTCATGTTTGTGTGTGTGGTGTAGTTCAGACGAATTTCCCGAATACCAAACAGTCAGAGGCCTAGATCTATCCGGCCCCCCCCCCCACCCTTACTACCCAAGCTTGAGTGTAGGTAACCCTCACCTCTTCTGTTCATCACCGCATCCGATGCTAATTAGAATAGACAATTAGGAAACAAAAGATCGAGACGGAAGGGAGGTGGCTAGGGAGAACGAGTGCTTACTTTTTTCCTTGTTGCTTGTGTTTGACCTCTGGAGACAAAACACTTTGAAAAGAAGTCAAAATTAACAGCACGTCAGTCGCATTGAAAAGAGCGTGTGGGTAGGGACGATGGAAGAAGGGCAAACGGAAATCGTGATCATTTGATGAAATATTGCAGAACCTTTGGGGAAGGTTGAATGGGGTCTGCTTGCTTGAACCAGAGATTAAAACGGTGCGCCAATTTGAGAACACAGGATGAAAAAGAAATCGAAAGAGAAAAATAGCCGATTTTTTCAAGAGAATAGAGTAGTCCACCCCAACTATCTTGATGAGCCACATCAGAGTGACAGAAATAATTAAGCAGCATGGAAAAAAAGAAACCAAATGTTGCCGTAAACCGAAATTGAATCGCATCTTCTCCAGGAGAAACATTTAGCAGTTGACTTGCCAAACTTCCAATCTCCCACTTTTCCCTTTCTTTGACAAGGAAATAGACGGAAAAATAGAATTTACGACTGGACGAAACACCTTTCCGCCCTGGTGGACCTCTCACAGACCTGTGACATAGAGAAAGTGGGAATCCTTTTTAAAGTACACCCACGCGGCAGATGTACTTTGCGCATTTTACAGCTTGACAATTTACCAGCCACATTGGGGTAAGGTGAAAGAACATCCATGGAAAGTGAATAATTCACTACACATTCCTACTTGGATAGGACAGAAAGTAGACAACAAAACCACCTATTTTAGGTGCATTTGGTGAATTCAAAGCAAATGGAGAACATACGATGTCGCCATGGCGTGCATTAATGCGAAATTTTCAGTCTTCGCTGTCCAAATGGACGTTCTGCACCAGTCTGAGAGCGTCTCAGCCCCTCTGCACGACGCAGCTCCTAAACATTCTTCATTACTAATAATGCCAACGTCTTAAGAGATGTAACTCAGGGGGAATACATTAGTGACAGGGCCAAAGGAATGCTGCCAAAATGAACTAACTCTTGGGGTATAGAACAAGCTATCTACTGTTCGGCGGCCATTGAAATTCATACCATACCTCACCACTTCTTTATCCATTCTTTATGAAGTCTGAGGATCAATGCCCAAGTCTATAGCTTGACATTAGGGAAGAGGCTCTCCGGACGTATTGCACCCCGCATCAATCAGGAGAGCAGTCGTAAAATTCACTTGCCCTAAGACTTTGCTACTGCGCAAATCTACTCATACCTGGAGGGTCGTCGAGAGGCCTACCAACATAGGCGGATCATAACTGACAAGGAATAACCCTATGGATAGGTGTAGGATTTTAGCATCTCTGACCATTAACGAATCGTAATTTGACGTAAAATTGAGCAAATTTTGGTATTTTCTTTGTAAATAAAATAATATCAGGCAACTAAATAATGGGAATTATTGGATAAACTCTCTTTTTCTTCTCCTCTCTCCTCTGCCTTTTCCTCTCCCTTCTTCACCCCCCTGGAACAAACCTCGAACACGCCAGACAGGGGAAACAGCATATGTCAAATTAATTGAGGACTTCCCAGCGATTTCATGAAGGTTGACGAGGGAGGGAGAAAAAGAATGACAAATTGCAGAAAGATAATACCAAAAAACGAAAATCGAGTCAATATTTAGAGATTTGATGTTGCCTTTTTTACAAAAAAGAAAAGTGGGGATTTTACAATCGAACTTCAAGGTAGGTAAGTAAAAGGCGGGACTCAAGGCTACCCTTTAATCGGGCAAAATTTTATACCGAAACGGGAAGTTTATTTCCTATTCAAGCTGCAAAAGGAGAAAATAAGTATTCAAACTTCAGATAAGCGAATGGTTAAAAAACAAAAATAAAGGCCGTCTCCACGTTGCTTGCCTTTTTTAGTACCGTCGCTCCGCACAAAAAAGTGAGGAATATGTACTTCCACTTCTTAAATGCCAAACGAAGAGTGAGAGAAAGGAGCAAGGGGCGTAAAATTCGACCGAGTGTTTCTTTCAAAAGAGGATTAAAAACAAGAAAAGTACGCGATAGTAGAGATCTGTATTAGGATGAACTAAGCTTTTCCATCTGGGGGAAATTCCCACCTTTCGTAATTGTAAATCACTTTCTAAGCCCTAAAGTTGTGACAGTTCGGCATATTTTAAGGCACAATCCAGGAAAATGAACGAAGTGACACTAAAAAAGCGCGCTTTTACCTTTTCGTTTCATATGAAATTATAGATTCTGCTTATAAACTTGATAAGTAGTACCGTGAATCATACAACGAAAAAAAGAGAACAAAAAATGCCGATGGTTTAAAAATGGCTCGTGCATTGAGGTTACCGCGATTTGGTGGTGTGACGCTCTATTCTTTCAACACCTCTGGCCAACGCTCCAGTTTATCAGCCCTTTCGGACATCTGTGGACAGATTTCACCTGTCTTTAGAGAGAAGGATGACCGGCCAGACTCATTCATTGATGACATCACAACAGGAGATAAACCTAAGAAATCTGAATCCACGAAGACACACAAGCAAAGAAGCGTTTGGAATCAATCAAAACATAGAGGTCGACACCAAGCACCTTCATTCCCTACTCATAATGACTTTTAGAGGGCCGAACATGTTGACACGCAGGTGGCCCCGGCGATTACGAGGCATGACGCTCCCAAGAGGCGGGAGGTCATGAGACCCAGAGGTACATCGGATTTCAGTCACCGTAGTTCCTTACCTTTGATAGCATTCAGCCAGCTCGAACTCCCACACTTTAAAAAGTCTTTAGAGGAAACTTAACCGTAACAATAGGTTACTCTTTTATTTAATTGGCTAGTCAGAGGTAAATAAGTAATATAAACACAAGAAGGGAAAAATTGCCAAAACAAAGTGGAATTCACTCCAGCTTTTGTATAAGTCCAGCAGATAAAATGCCAGAAAGTGCACAAAGGACAAGAAGGGAAGGAAAAACTTGGAAAAGGAGGTAAAAAATTATGCTATTATAGTCGCCTCTATGATTGTCCACTGCCTTTGTAAAGCATCGCACAATATTTTAACTTAAAAAGGCATGACATTTAAGGCATGAAGGCAGTTAAGCCATCCCCAGATGTGGCATGCAGTGTGACCCATCTCTACTCAAAATAACGGTCGAGCACATCGAGGATGAAGTGAGATTGGACACCATTCGCCAAGGTACCAGACCGTAGAGGTGGTGAGTGTGCACACGGAATAGCTGTATGGTGCTCTCACCAAATTCGTAAAACCCGGACTCACGGATATGCAACTGCCGTCAAAACCAACCCACAGCTCGAAAAGTTATCAACGACAGATCCCTTCACACCGAAACTAGATTGGAGCAATTAACTTTGGCTAGGAATTCGGCCAACTCAAGTCACATTTTCACTTAAACATTCTTGGAAAACAAAGGTAGGAAATTCAGAGGCATTAATTTATGAGAGCCTACTGTCACGAAGATGTTTTGCTCACCGGGTGACTCGGAAGTTCCAACACGTTGAAGATGTGAGGTTGAGACACTCTGTTGTTGATGGTAGTGACAACGTCGGCTATCATCAGCACGATTTTGTGACAAGGAGGAGAAGTGCGTCTTAAATCGACAGTCGCCACCACCACCGAGAGCCTAAAAGGCAAAATTTGTTTCATCGGACACAAAAGTGAGACTGTTTTAATCTCTTCGTCCACATCGAGAGGATAAAGTTCTGTGCATGCCACAAAAAGGTCTGCGTCTTGCAGAGTAACCCAAGCGCAACTTTGATGGTAGAGCGGTTGAGCATACTTGGTCATCCACTTTTTTCACTACTTACTATGCAAAAAAGTTTTTTATAGGGAAAAGAGGTACGTGATGACTCACATCGTGAGGGGAAGTAAAAATTGGGTATAATTATGGACTTTAATGAGGCGAGGTGAGAGAGTTAAAATCGCTCCCACCTCCACGTAAGTTGTTTCCCTTTTTGTCGATGTTAAATATAACCGAAAATGATCCTATACAGATGACTGTTCTCCTGAAAAAGGAGTTAGCATGGAAGATTATTTCCAAACGAGTACCTCCAGGAGAACTACAAAGCATGGCTAAGTGAAAAGTTTCTCTCCTCCTCTGAAACGGAATAGCACCAGTTTTGGCCATGGGTCTTCCGATTTTCGCAGTATAACCTTCTTCCTAATTGTTCTAGTAAATACTAAAAGCAGGTTAGACAGCTTACGGTGGTTTGGCCAATCCACTTTTCAGTGATTCTTCAAGCGTCCAATGCCTCTAATACCAAAATTTTTTGACACAAACTTGGCATTGCTTAACACCCAAACAAGTTAACACACATTTAACAGCTTGGGCCATTTACAACTTGTCGGAGAACCGCCCACACATCCAAAGAACGATAATTCCACTTGGATCACACACACACACACACACATTAATGCGCCGTTAACCACCCACAGGGAATGGATTGTTTTCTTTCATTATCTAAAAAAAGAAGAATCCCAGCCTCCTTGCGCCGGACCGGAAAAAGGACCTCGACGCGACGTAAAAATCAATAGAGCGCGTCCAGATGACACCGACACCGACAGTACGGTACAAATTGGGAGAGGGAAAGCAAAAGATGGATATTTTAATGCCTATAGATAAATCAACCAAGTTGTGGGAAGGGAAACGGACAGAGAGGATATCCTCTTTCCCTTTCCTAATAAAAATGAGGCAGATAAATAAACCCTAACTACGTTTCCATGATTGACAGTTGTAGAGGAAACAAAATCACAGGTTCTGTGGTGCAGAGGAGAAATCTGATTTGGCTATAAAGGATTTTTAGATTTATTTTTTCATAAGAAATGAAAGATTTTAAATAGTTAATTTCGCCCTTTTTGTTTGAACAATTCACCGAGGAAACTAACAAGTAGCTATTTCGGCCCCAAAAAAAATCTTATTTATTAGAAATACGAAGTTAAAACATCTTTAAAGTGCTTAAAACAATTCAAATTATTTAATTTTTCTCATAAAAAACTATTAGTTCAGAGTTTCGCGGGGAATACTCCAAAACCTAAAATGTGGAAGGCAACTCTGAATTGCCCCCCCCCCCTCTCCAAGAGCAGACATATTTGCCAAGAAAAAGGAAACAAAATTATTCCAATTAGAGTGGTTTTCAGTTGTTTTAGCTAATTGCCCACATAAATCTTCCCGTAGGATTGGAAAAGGAAGAAAAAAAAAAGGGGAGTCCTATATGATATATATAATTGCTGAACAATAAAACAAACAACCCTAGTCCTCCACTTTCTTTTAAGCAAAAAAAGGATTTCACTTTAAGTTATTGTTTCAGCAGGAATGGGAGATATGAAGTATATTTGCCTTCAGGTGCTTTTTTGAGGCCTATCAATGTGCTACTGACCAACATGCGGCATTGCTCCACCTCACCTGACCCAGCAACTCCATGAAGCAGTAGGCGAGGCAAGAAAAAAGAAGCCTGGCTCTTCCGTCTCATTCCTCTTTATAGGATGACGTTTGACGCCTACGTCATACCTGACATGCAGTCCGCACAAAATTCGCTTTGTGGAGCCTGATCTTAAACAACCGAAGTAAGCAAAGCTGTTTGTCTTCCATCAATAACAGGCTCCAGGGGTCTCGATTATCACCAAGGTAGCATTTTGGTTGATAGGCCGTCAAACCCTTTTATTTTTGCTGCATCACTATAAATGGGAGACTAAAAACCCTAGCTATAGCAATTGGATGTCTTGCTTTTAGTGGCTAGGATGATGGGGTCTTGGAAAAAATGTAAGGAGAATGGGGAGAATGAGATGACGCAGTCTTACATTTCATCCTCAAGTCCAAATCCCCTCACGGGTAGGCGATCTTGCCTTGTTTTACAAAAATGAGTACCTTCTTCCTATTTCTTAGGGAGCAGTTTCCGTACGTTGAATTTCGTCAAGTAGATCTTCCCCATAATTGTTGATTGGGCAAACAGGTAAGTGAACGAATCATTCCTTCTACACTCAAAAGAGGATGGTCCACTGAGGAGAAAGCAATGTGTGCCTTGTGCGGACATGATTGAAAATATGTTTGTTAGGAATAAAAATGGCACACCTCCATCACAATTCAGTCAGTCAACAAGTAAGCTAGAATTTATGGTGTTTAGTTTACAACGTGAAAAAAGGAGTAGAGATCAGCAAACTGACAGGTCCTGTGGCACCCATTCAGCGGCGGTCTTCCTTATGTCGCTCTACAGTTAATGTAGATGTAAACTAAGGGCATAAACACCATTCAGGCTGACCTCGATGATTTTTAAAGTCGACAGCGACATGGAATTGCTTGTGATTGCAATGAAGAGGTCCTTCTCTTCCTCTGTAAATGATTTACTCATTCAAAGCAGATCTCCCAAGTTGCATTTTGAACGCTAAAAAATTGATACGATGCCTCGGAACCGCAGCAACCGAGGACACCTGGGTTTAAAGGTCGGACAAACCTAACTATCATCATCCACCAGGTCCTCATTCAGCCGATACTGCATGATGTGAGGGTTAAAATTGAGTACATGGTGGAGAACTTTGTGCCCACTTATCTATGCTCTCATGAATTGAGAAGACCTTCTAAGGGTCACAAAATTTACTATTTTTATTGCATAAACTAAAAATTTTTCAATCAACGAAATAAAAAAGCGCATACATTGTATGTGTAGTAGGAAAAATCCTCAAATTTGCAAAAAAAAATAAATCCAAATCCAGAAATACAAATTATTGTGTTTCGTGACAGGCAGAAATGCTTCACTTTTGACAGATAAATCGATGCAGAGCGAGAGAGGGGGGCGAGGGAAGCAGGACCAACCACAAAAAAGGAAGTTATTTTTTTTTCTTAAAAAGAGCCCTATCATTTCTGTGCAATGTCAATTTTTAGGACATTGGTTCGTTAGGTGGGAAAAAAATAGTAAACATTACTAAGGGAAAAGAGACCCCCCTCCAAGAACGCACGCTTTTTGACTTCCAACTTTAAGTGCACTTTACTTGACAGGTGACATCTGCTGGCAAATTCGCCTGCTTTACTGTTGCCAGTTAATGTTTCTCTAATTACATGATATTCATGGGGAATCTCTGTCGCATCTCAGTATCCTTCTCTCGTCAGTTTCATGTCCCTACCCTCGCGACCCTCTCCAACGTTGGAGAAAATTTAGCCAGTCAGAGATGCCTAGAAGTGCTAGATTGATGGTAGTGGTGGGCTGATTAGTTACCAAATGTCCAAAGCACGGAGAAGGAAGACATCTGCGATGAGAGGTGGTTAAAGCTGGCTGACTGCCGATATCTCCCAAATCAATCTGTCTCTGGGAGAGTTCGTATGGCAGAGGACGATATTGGGGAGGTTCAACCAAGTTCACTGTGCCTACCGCCATCAGCAAGCCTCTTCTTGCCTGTGCTGCGGTAGATGGCAATTCCCCCGAAAGATTTGTTACGGCCAGAGTAGGCAAGTTCTAAGGCCGCCACGCTACTTATGCGGATATTTCACCCGGTCTCCTAGGAAGTCCCGCAGCACATCATCTACCGACTTGACCTCTTTGGCAGTGCCACATTAAGCACACCTCAATTTCACTTTTCCAGAAGTCCACTGCATGAGCTTTCAAGCTCTTTCCAGAGAAGACGTGGGAAAAGTTTAGTTTTTGCCCATTTTGATACCCTCTGAGGTTGCGGATGGGAGAGAAGTGTAAGGGGTATGGGAGGGCTTTTAATTCACCTGATCCATTCGACGTCATTTAAACTGCAGTCTCAAAAAACTTGCCAAGACCCATCCTCCCTCTCCTCTCGCTCTTCCCACAACCCATTAACTTAATCACGGATTTACATTTAAACATCGGCCTAATGGAAAACGAACTCAAGGAAACAAAGGTGACTTTGAATGAAGTACGACAAAGAGGAAAAGAAAGGGAAAGAAGAGGAGAAGAGTAAGGCAATTTTGCTAATGGTTTGATTGTTTTACGACGAGCAGCTTTTAAACTTGAATTTGCTATTTTTTTCTCTATTTCCTTGAGGAGCCAAGTCTGAATGAAAAATAAAACAACCAACCAAAACAATTTCACCCAATGATTTGTGATTTTCGATAGACATCCATTGTCCAATAATGAAAGCCGCGCGGCGGAAAGTGTAAACAAGTCTGACGAGTACTTTTAACTCCCAGCTATATTTACGAGCAAGAGGGTAGATGATATCTCCTTTCCTCAAACTAAAAAAATGAAATTTTAGGGGCATATACAAGCTAAGAGGAAAAAGTAATTAAAATCAGGCTACACTCCTTATGGCCACGACTGCATTAATACTTTCAAATACCTTTTCCCTCCTCTCGTACACTACTGAATAAACAAGTACTACGGGCAAACGCAATGTGCTATTTGAGGCGCAAAAAATCATGAACGCATATTCAAAAGAAATATCTTGGATATGCAGGTTATTTTTCTAACTTTGAAGATTGAGAAAAGACCTCTTAGAGGAAGGTCAGCCACCATACGCTCCAGGTGTTTTGGCGGTCTACCTAAAGTTGGCTCTTTAACAAATAAGGAAACTGAACAAGCGTCTTTGTCTTCTTCACGCCTAGAAGATACTACAATGTTTTAAACTCAACCAAGATGTTTGTGCCGCACATACGTTTCTGAGGCAATAAAAAAAGGCTAGAGAAAAAAGTAATATCACAACTTGGAAGAGAAGGAAACATGTCTTTTGCATACACACACACACACACATATATATATATATATATACATATTTTCTGTCGCCAGAGTTGGGCAGAAAAAAAAAGGGGGGAGGAGATGGAGCACGGTTAAAAACCATGCTAAATCGGCAAACTTACTCCACTCGTAAGTCGACGAAATGTGCTGGCCAATTTGGTGGAACGAGATGTAGCACTTGATGAGACGGGTCGTTTCATCTAGACGCGGAAGAAGAATTAGAGATAAATGGAGCATCAAAAACTCGGCCTCCACCGAGTGCACCAGCGAAATATCTACCTCGTAGGCGGGAGGTGTTGGAAACAGACTCTGTACCCCTCACCTACAAATGCACACATCTTTGCCTGTCCCCTGACGTTTTGGATCTGTGGGCACAGTTTCATAAAAAAGTGACAAAGGGGCGGCAGAAAATATATACACCTACACCGAAGGGAAAAGAAGGAAACAAACGCCACTGAAATAACCTTGGAAGGAGGGATATCATTGGTCCGTGAGGCAGACATCAAGTAGAAAGGGTTCTAAATAATTCAATTACATAGCATAAAGGTGTTATCTGCGCAAGAACAATGGGAGTCACCAATGCACAACCTTGTAGGCGTTTGTTTTTCGCCATTCAGTTGGGTCACAGTTAGTAGGAAAAGGCACAAAGCCCATGTAATTCCAGCTTAACTACGTTTCAAGGGTAAAACAGACTACTACAGTTGAAATGCCCCCTTTGGGGTTTTATGTCGCATAAAACCGGGAAAATGGTATATAATTATCTACCAAGCAAGAAAATATAAACAAGTCACATATTTGCGACGCCAGGCTCAAGTGAAAATAAAAGTTGGAGATCGGTTCATCAGCCAATCAGAAAAATGCGTGCTTATGAAATGACACCGACCCGGGAAGTTGGAGCCTTTTACAATTTTCTCATAATTTTAAATCAGTAAGTATCAAAAAAGGATTATGGAAAAGTTCCGCACTTCTTTTACTCAAACCTACCAAAATATTTTTCAAAAGCACCCCTCTACCGTTCTTCCATGGCAAGAGATTGTAGAAAAAGAGGCACACGTTTTTCAGACGCCTTTTATAACAAAGATAGAAAAAAGCACCGCGTGTACACTTTGGCGACTGGAGTGCGGTGGCACTTTCTCCCTGTTGCTTTACGACAAAGTGAACAGCTATAAGGATTGGTGTAAAATAAGCAACTTGCAAACAAGGTGTCGCACCTCTAGGGGTTACGAGTCTACCCTGCTGAGTGAACACTGACGCTACGGAGAGGCGAGGGAGGGAGAGCGAGAGGAATAGATGGTGCAAAGAGCTTCCAGATGGCCGTGCTATTAATAGACTCAAAGCGACCACTTGGACGTTTATGGGAGGAGAGGAGAGGGGGAGGGAAAAATTGTACTGGTTTGGGCAACAATAACCGAGGGAGGATATATGAAAGGGTTGATACCTGATTGTAAAATCTTCAAATCCTTGCAACCTATGGAAGAGTTTTAAAATCTAAAGAAAGTTTTTTAGGCACCACAAAGTCCCTTAGAAAGTTTTCTATTGCAGTGGTCTTTCGCCTGCCGCATTTAACTATGAAGGTCGCCACCTTGGTGTCATTGTGTATCGTGCATGTTTGTAGCCTCCTGTACACCGCGTTTCGTTGTTAAGATCATCAATGCTCGTTTTATGCACAGAGGGTCAAATTTTTAAATAAAGCACGCAGTTCTAGCACTGAAACAGCTTTGTTACATGTTTGTGATGTGACGGGAAGTGTGAATACCACTGCACGATATCATGCCCAGAGGAAAAGCGAAACACAGATTTATAACTTGGGTGAAGGTCAAATCACCGTAGTTCCACCAACGCAAATTCTCTGCCTAAAGCGCCACACGAATACGTCAAAAGACGACATTAAAAAGCCTCAAAGATGCTAATGAGTGTAAAAGGACCTCTCCGTCCAGAGTCACCCTCCATTTCGGGAGCGGTCTGTTAGTCTAAGAAAAACTATTGCGCTTCTAAATTTAGGAACTGGGGTATTTTCACTTCTGAAATTGGAGGAGGGAAAGCCGCAAATTTCTAGCCCCCAAGTTTAGCGTCAAAACAACCCCCCCCCCCCAAAAAAAAGTGTTGCTTTTGGAGTAGTAGTCGTACGTCAATTTGCCCAACAAAAATAAAATTTTTTTGAGATTAGCTGCAAATCAAAACGAGATCCATGGGTGCAGACACTTTGATCTGGATAATATTACATCGACCACAAATGAAAAATGTCAGACTGCCTTCGCCTGCCTTCATGGATTTATAAATCATAACCCGGCCTATGGTGCATTTTTATTGGTCCACCAGCCAGCCAATCAAAACCGGTATGGGATTACACTAGGGCTGACGACTGCATTTGGAAGGACAAAAATAACCTCGCATCGGTGGTCTCTTACATCCCAACTTTGACCAAAATACAAGAAAGATAACTTAAACGATCCGCTCCAAAGAAAAAAAACAGTTCTATTAGAAGAGAGATTCTCTAAAAAGGTGAGGAAACTCACTGTAGATGATTGTTGTGGTGGAGGAAGAGTTTTACATTCTATGGGAGTGGGAAATTGGACGCCTTTTCTTCGAAGTGCTGTGTAGACCTTTTCCAAATCGCGTCGTCCTGGAACATCCCAGGATGCATCGACCCAAGACTAGGTTAAGCAGTGAATCGCAATATCACCAGAAAGTGCAAATAGTCAGATGGCAAATTGAGAAAGGAGCAAACGTACCTTAATGAGAAATAGAATTTTAGTTTGTAATTGAATCGGCGGATTGTGTTTGGGGAGAAGAACTTTGATGAGATCGTGAAGAAAGTCGCGGTTGGCGACCTGAGCTTGAAAGCGGCGACCACAATTTTTGAGACAGGCTTCAATGAGAATAAGGGTGTACCAAATGCTGATGTGATCCTTGCCCGCCGATGAAGTCAAGCGTTTTCGAATGGCGCGAATGGCTTCCTTTGGCCTATTAAAGAAAATAATAAGGGTAGAAGAAGACGAGAATGTTACCCTTCATCTGTTTCGCCTAGAGCGTCACAAATCTCCAGCACGATAGTCCAGTCTATTGCCAACTTTCCACTATCTGTGACGCGCTCTACAAAATAAGAACGAAGTAATAAAGTGCAATAGACTTGAAAGTTTATGGCCCCAGTGCGGTGAAGTGCTAGTAGAAAAAACGATAGGCTTTAAAATTGCATTACTATTAAAAGGTGAGTTCAAGTTAGTAATGGCCAACTGTACACAAAGACGGTAATGTTAGGAAATGGTGTGCCAAAACTCACGCGTGTTTATTAAAATATGGAGCAAAGTGAAGAAACCAAAAGCACAACACCCTATAAGCTCCACAGCACAATAAAAATCAAAACCATTACCCACTTCTAAAACAGAAATAAAGCGCCACAAAATCAAATTCAAAAACAGAAACAGACCACAGTCCCAATTATGTAAAGCAGTGAAAACAGTAACCAAAAATACAGAACGTCAAAGATGCTAGAACAAATAACTAATAGGACCTGGTTAAAAAGTTCTCCTGTAATTAAAACTAAAGTAGACTTACCTATAAGAGTACCGACGCGGGTTGAATATGGGTGACTTTGAAACAAATTCTGCATCGCAGCCCGAGATTCAAGGACGAACGGGGCACTCACATAATCCGCTGCCTCACTCTAGCGGTTATTCAATGTAATTGAAAAGCTAAAACAAACTTGTTAATTACAATAATAGCTTTCTCTTTTTTGCTTTCCTGCAAGCAACTTTGCGAAAGTTTTAACGCCTAAAACAGCATGGTAAAGCATTTTACAAACACTTTGTTAAATGGTCGTTTTTAAAAAATGGGGGCATTAATTTTGTGTAAACTTTAACATATGATTCTAACACATAGTACGTTTATCATTTTATACAACTGTGAAAGATAGACACCTTGCTTTGGGCGAAAATATAGTCAACATATAGGCATGACTTCGCTAACCCATGATCTACATATTTTACTAGAGCAACCATTCTCAGCCATCCACTCAATTCAAAATGTGCTTAACGAGTGAGGTTATTTTCAACCGTGCTTGGTTGTTTTTAACAGGTGTAAAAATATATGTTTTTTGAGATGCGTGTATCCATGTCATTCAGGGTTTGAAACGCTTACCTTACATGAAAAGTGGATTTTCCGAAGACTTCTTTTTATCTACACAGAGGAGCATTTAAATTGGAATGTTAAATTGGCTTTAATATTGGCTTTGAAAACCTGTTTAAGTTTTTCGTTCTCGTAGTTACGCAATGGCGGTTTTTTGAGTTCGATATACATGTTCCATAACGAGTCCGAAGCTTTGGGTTATATTGCATGGTGGGGTTTAAGTCCCGCTATAAATTTACTGAATAATGACTTTTGTAAAGACAGCACAAGTATTTTTCCCCATCCTTTTTGATGATTAGTTAACATTTATTGCTTTGGTATGGGCGATACACGGCACATTATAAAAACCATTTCTCAATCCATGGATTGTAAGCAAAGATACAAAGTAAGATAATGCATCCCTTTATAATGACAGTTTAACGTGTTTGAAAGGAGTATTGAGTTAGTTGCACGACATATTTTGCAATTGTATATTGTTGGTATTCCAAATGAGAAAATGGGGCTTCAAGGTAAAAGGGCATCCTTTATCCTGGCATATTTTTAAAAGAAAAGACTGAGCGATTTCTTGAATTATACGGGAACACCCTTATCCGCGAAACCACCGAAACTTGGTTGAATGACATTGCAACTTATCTTATTAAGTAAAACTAATGCTGCCATTTTGAATTGTTTCACTTAGTATAGTCACTGATACTGGCATCTTTGATCAATTTCTTCCTTACATATCAGTAAATAAGTTGAAATCAAAGGATCGTGATCATTTGGAGTGCGTACTTAAGTCATGGCGCCGAAAAAATCTCCCAAAATTCGATATTTCCACGTATTGGTAAGTTCACATATATCAGGTATTATTATCCGATGAACTGTTTGCTGTAGGAATTCAAGAGTTCGACAACATCTTGGTGTACGCTATGATGCCATTCCGAACGTCTTTGATTGGGATTGTTCCATTGTTCTCCGTGATCGAGGTGTACGTCTGATCTTTGGTTATTCATTTGTTTCTACTTGCTTCCGTCTAAGTAAAATATTTATTCACTGAGCCTATTAGACAAAAACCACTTGTACATTGTTATCGCCTCCTCACTTAAACAGATAAAGAGAGGGCGGTCTATCTTTAGTCTGGCAGACTTTCTGTGCGGTCCTCGTTCATAATCTGTATGTGGGAAGATGTTGCCCTTCTGAGAATCATTTATCTGGTACTGTCCTTTGTTATCTTCCTCTGCGATTAATCATGCTGAGTCTTCTGCCTTTACTATTTCTGGTAAAATGCTCTCCACTTTTCAAGGCATTTTCATGGTTGAGTCTAACCAAAATTTTCAGATTAAAACAATCGACAGTCGTGAATACAGCCGATGGCGCAGCACGGGTGTTGCCTTTACCCCACGCCAAGCTAGTTACCTTTCTCCGAATCGGAGCTTGGCCTCACCTCGCTACTTCTCGCACAGTCAATGTACTGGTGATCTGGGTGGATCGACGCTGATTGGCTACTGGGGTGATATTGTCTGTTCGCCATTTCTGGCCTTTGGTACTTTCACAGATCGCAGACCGGAGTTAGCAAGAACCCTCCCAGGTGGAAGAATAATCTATGGGGCCTCGGTGCTATCTGAACTGAATTTAAGGTGTTTTCTGTGGGAGATAGCACATGGTCGAAAAGCTCCACCTACTATTGCTTCGACAGAATTTGGATTGGAAGAGAAAGGTAGGTTCCGAACACGTTTTTCCATCTCCTACTTTGAGTAAAGTCAGTGACAAATTCTTGTCTTATCTTTAAAGTTTATTGGTTGAATTATAGGGAAGGATTAGTGGCTGCTTGGTTGTAACCTCCTCTAATTAACACGTATATGTGACGCTCTCTTACAAACCAATAATATTTCACAAACAGGGTCTTTACTGTTAAGAAATCCGAGTCGACGAGGAGTTCAGAGAGTGTGTGTGCTCCTGCTGGTCATGGTGATAGGGTCCTGGAGTATAGATGGCCACCATACCCATCCAACTCATATCTCTTTGACTACTCCCACAATTAAGCAATCGGGAGAGATTAAGTGACATCAAGAATCTTGGGACTTTCTAGATCTGTGGGAATTAGATCCGAAAGGGTAGACAACACACTCCTACTTGCTTATCTGAGTTCGGCACTAAAGACCTGTAAAATGATAATTGGTCACGCTAATTTGTGTCCCAAACAATAGTAGAAATTGGTGTATCATGCTGTCCTTGACTTTGGTAGAAGAATTATATTCCGTCTTATTCTTTTGAGTAGTATAAGATGAAGTCAAAGAATTAAATATCTGAGCTGTGGTGATGGATTGTCCTTTAGGGCAGACTGTCATTAACACCCAACTTCTTGATGAGCACCAATTCTGTTGAGAGAATAACCAGGACACAAAGATTTCAGGGCCAAATGGCTTTAGCGCCATCAGCCTATGAACAACCAGAACATGTTGTCTGTGTACCTGTCCTTTCAGTGACGCGTTTAGACAGCATTTTGATTGATCCTGACCCCTTTTTGGACATTGGCGGAAATCAGCGAGGCACCTAACTGTGGAATATTTCTAAAACACTCAAATGAAAGGAAGTTTGCAGTAATTTTTGACGGTTTTAGAACGAAAAGGCTACTTCTGGGTTAGTAGGTATCTCCATCATAGACATTTTTTAAAGATGGCTAGAATTTTTTTAGACTTTATCCATAAGTAAATTTTGCGAAAAAAATTTACTAATAGGTTTATATAGATATTATCCGTTTCTGGCACTTTCCGTTTCCTTCTTTTTTCCACTATTTCCTTTTACTGATTAATTCCTGTTTTTGCTGACACGAAGATGTTTAAGGTGGCGCCAATGCTTTTTTAAACAATTATTCACCTTATCCAAGAAACTAACCAAAAAAATCAACTACTTCACCTCAATAGATGAGAAAATGGATGGGAGCAATGAAGGTGGCTCTAGCAGTGGGAAAGTGGCAGGTAGGATTGCACATCCAATGGTCTTAATTTACCCCAGATAAGGAGGTAGGCGAGGAGTCGGAACCCAAAAAGAACAATGAAAATCCCTCGGGTAAGCAAGCTGCTTCTCCTTGAAGCATAAAAGAAATAGTTCTTTGTACGAGGCAAAATTAATCGTAAGTTGTAGAGAAGGCGGGATATTTGAAAATGAGTGACGAAAACATAAAAATATTTATTAGAGCTAAGTAAATTAATTTTTCAAAGAGGCTTTTTAAAAACAGACCTTGTTGTTTGGTAGCTGAGCGACCCGAGGGAAAAATGGAAAATGTACCGGGGAGCGGAGACATATCGGGTAGGCACTTGTCAACTTTCACTTATCGAATTGTTCACAATGACAAAGTTGCAAATTCTTTTTTTCCCTTTTTACAGACGAAAAATCATATAAGACTGTTGATAGTAAACGGGAGTGCACGCCAGGTGGGTGCTTGTCAATGACACTTCCGATTTCTTTGCTATTTTGTGCATCATGTATGGCAAAGGGTAGCAAGTTTCGTACCTCTTTTTGCTTTCAAAATTTGCGTATTAGGTTGGGTTTTTAAACACCTTTTGTCTTTAAGATATTTCAGGTGAGGCTCTTGATTCAAAGGAGAAGAATAAAGACGCATTGGGTAGGCACCTACTTATTATATATTTGACATCTTTTTCATCGGTAAACCTTTGAATTTGTAATTCTTTTTCATGGGATTACTGTTAATGCTATGTCTATCATTATCATTTTCTGGAAAAGTATATTCAAAACCAGGCTCAAAAATGCAAAACGCATTGAATGCTCGTTTTATTTTGCGACAAACCTGGCAACCGATAAGTTTTAAGATTTCTTGCCTGTGATTGCAGCACCTACATCTTTTTCTTCCTCTTTCTACAACTTTTCTTTGGCAGAAGAACAAGGCGGGAGTACCGCAACCGGACCTAAAAGCCAAAGCTCTTTGCGTAGGTGTTAAATAGTTGTATGCAAATTTCCCACCTATGTTAATTTGACTCAGTTATTAAAGAAGTTGTTAAAACAAATTGCTTTTTACAGAAGATCATCCAAACAAAATGTGTAAGCAAGTGGTTTATTAGGTAAGTAAAATGATAGGCCGCAAGGCAAATAATCGTTAGGTTGTTTTTGGGCAAAATAGACAAGTCAAAAGTGGTCTTTATGCACGATTATGTGGTCCTACTGTCTAGTCCAAGAAACATTTCTGCTTGTTTAACTAAATCTTAGACGTTTGGTGAGCTGCCAAGCGCGGCAATTGAGTATTGGTGTTGAAAAGCATCTCAATTGCTTTATACAATTATTTTTCAGGAATTAAGTCGGATAGCCTCTTAAATCCTTTATTTGGGTCCTTTAATTTTTATGCTTGAAAAGTCATTGCAATTTCGTTGGCTCATCATAATGACGTACAGTTCTGATGCATCCCTTGCTGGTATCTTTTTTTCTGAAAAAATGGGGTGGAATATCGTGATAGCAGTCAGATTTGTCTGAGACTGTCAAGCCACCCGCCTGTAGTGTTTTCCTCTGTAAGATTTTTTTAATATCCGCACTTAAATGTGATTGCAGAACTCGTGCCTCGAAGGTACAAATTAAAGTCAGGGCTGCTTCGCTCCCTCGGCGCTGCAGCCGAGGTGTGTGTGCTTGGATCAGTAAGCCAGAGCCGTCTCAGCCGATGTCGGAGATGAAGTCTCCTTTTTCTTAAATTACCTAACTGGTTTGACGATCGCTGAGTCATTTAAAAGTGTACAACCACAAAGAGTTATGATAGGACCAGGAGCATTTGCAGATAGTGGATGTCGAGGTTACTGAATGGTTCTATGAGATAGCTTGTGGGAGGTTTCTAGGGCTTGTCACGATGACGCTCAGACGGTTTCAGCTCGTATTTACGCCATCATGACCACTGTTTTCTGTCCTGTTTTTAAAAACTGATGATAAAAATAAAAAGCAAGTGATCTAAGTTCGAAGAGTGCCTAAATCTCAAAAATTTATTTTTGAGATATTTTTTCTCGAGTATTATTGCTGCCGCAACGTTTTATATTGCTAATAAGTCGTTCTGTGGGGAATCTGCATATCCAGCGCTGTTAACCACGACGTGGTACTAGAATTCCGCTGTTCATTCACGTGAGGTCTCTAAAAGTGCTGGAGATAAAATCTTTAACTACCAAGAGGGGAGGGGTGACACAGAGCCTGCTTCATTTCAATTGTAACCTTCCTCTACGCTTTAGCCAAAACAGACGTCAATTTATGTGAACGATTTGAAGTTGACTTCTACCCTCCGGGAACCACCTTTGTGGATCTAAGCACACGTCTTCGTTCCCGATTTGTGGAGGAGCAGGATAAGGCCTCCATCGTTTACGTCGGCTGCTCATCACTTAGTCTGCTCAACAAGGCCTCCAAGGATCTGCTAGATGTTTGTACCGACGATTGCCGACTTATCATTGAGTCTATCCTGTAGGTGAGCCTGCATTTGTTCTTTTCGTGCGCGCAACTGCCTTTTATGCTGAAATGAGGCTAATCGCTTCACAGCTACATCATCGGAATGAAGGAGGGCGACATACGGGGCTACGTGAAAAGGGCTGAGGAGACCGCCAACTCGTTAGGATTTAAGGTAAGTTTTGACATTTTTGTTGAAACCATTTCAGTAGATATGCTATTGACAGTGAAAATTCCTTCATTTAGTTGGAAACACCCGTCGATCCGATGCGAGACCATCACTTGTACTTTGTTCGAGGCAGTGGGAAGATATGTGAATAGAAGGGCAAAGTTTTAACAAACCATGTTTAAAAGTTTTTAGACTGAAAACAAAATGCATCCCCCACCGAGATTTTGCCTTTAAATAACATTCTGTTCTGGGAAATTTTTTGTTTTACCTAAAGCTATTTTAAGACACTTCATTTGCACATCTGTATTTTCTTTGGAGCTGCCGAGAGTGGGATCAGTAGGCGCAGATTGTTGTGTCTGAGTGTGCTACGGATGTACTTCTGTCTGGAAAGTCAGCTATTCTTACTGCAATTTAACGCACAACTCGTTTGTGTGGTGTGAAGCAGACTGTAGAACTTTCGCACAACTTGTGGTGAGGAGGATCTCTGTTTCTCTATTGTGGGAAAAGTACCGAAGTAGCACCAATTCATAGCCCCCTTTAGGTGAGACCACTATAAAGGCAAATTTCTCCTCTGCCAAGCAGAATTGGGGAGCGCTAGACATCTGGCTGGATGCTGCTGCAATTACGAGGAATGACGGCTGAATTTTGGAGTCGGAAAGATGAGTCGCATCTACGCTCTAATTTGCAACAGGCAATGCTTCTCAAAAGGTGGTGCAATCCTGAGAATAAACCAGACCAAGTACTTCTACGCAAAATTTTGTCGCAATATAATCCAAAAGGTGTTGTGTTTTCACATAGAAACAGCTGGAAGTTTTTGCAAGAACGCAATACTCACATTAATACGCCCATTTATAGCGGTGCTGATTCGATGTGCTTGTAAATATAGATAATTTATTCCCTAAAATTGCTAGGATTTGCGTCGATTACACTCATTGTTTCCTCAAATTCTGCTCAATGCATGCATCCAAGAAGCCTTCCAGCTAGCTCTTCAAAATGTATTGCTTTTGCGAATTTTAAAAACGCTAGATCATATAAACAAATAACACAGATTAATTATGGACTGCAAGTATATTAACTACAAATTGCAGCCAAATTTTACAACGAATTTCCAATATAATTTGAGATTTAGATTTGATTTTAATCAACTTGAGCAAGGAAAATAGGGATTAAGGTGTATTACTTTTAAATTGTTTGCAAGACCAAAAAGATGTACCGTAAATTTGTTTGTTTTCCATTAAATGCCCTAAAACCAATTTACCAGCCTCGAAAAGAATATTTTGTTAGCAACGAGTGTTTACAATAGATAATCCCAAAATCAGAATTATCTGCGATATTTTTTGTTTACATTGTCTAAAAGCAAGCAAAGACAAAGTAGCATGATCTGAAGAAGGCAATTATAATCATGAGGTTGTTAGTGCAAAATGAGACCGAACTGGAAGTTCAGACACAACTAAATAGGCTAGGGAAATTTAATCAGATTTTTATAAGGCGAAGGAAGATTTACGCCATCTAGGTAAACACTTTTTTCCCAAAGGGCCTTCACTTTCTCTCTAGTACTGCGCACTAGAGCCTCCTCTTGAACCACAAATCGTTTCTGATGTCCTTCGGCCTTGCATGTCAAATTTGGTTTCTAAATTACGATGCGCAGTTGTAAAATGCATTACTCGATGCTGATACAGCACAGAGGTTGACGAAACGACTCCAAAGTGGACTTTAATGTTGACATCGCAATGAAATATGTGTGACACCTGCATACCATGCAACATTAGATGGAGATTAGCTTCAAGGTCTGTCGTCTGTTTTCAATTATTCACTGACTGACTGATTGTGCGCAGGAGTGGTTGACACTGTCATGCAAAAGGAGATGGCTTCTCTACTGCATTATCCGTCCCACCTTTCTAAAGCAATACTTCCCCAGAGCCTAGTTTACTGCAGGTAAAATCTCTTAAAATAGCATTATTAACTCGCCGAAGGTCAAGCACCCACCAGGCTTGGAGTCTCTTTCACAAACCTGGATAAAGAATGCTATCCTTTTAAGAAGGTGCAAGATCTCATGACGCTACAAAGCCTACTTGAGGAGACAGGGGATAAGGAGGTATTGCCTTACCCTAATCATCTGTATTGTTTCAAGTAACTATGTGAAAAAAGCATAACACAACGGATTTTTGCTTTTATCATGAATCAATGCAAGGATAGGTCTTCCACGCGAGCCGAGCTTTCCCCACACTCGCCCGTTTGCTATTCTTTGGAGTGTATTTGCATCTGGAACAGCTTCCTAGCTAATTATTTGTAATGTGCTTTTGAAACCTTTAATCAAAGCAGAGTTGGTCCCACGCACCTCAAATGCCGACAGTGATGAATCTGCACTGCTGGCACCCGCACACTGCAGCCCTCCACACCCGGACTGCGATCAAGTGCTGTTACTCAGCCCCTACTTTGCATCAAATTGGTGCTCTTTTAAAGCAAACACTTGAGAGCAGCCAGATTACTAGCCAAAAGTAATTATATGGCAAGATTAAATGCTAAATATTTCTACAAGCCGTGTCAGAGGAGTAATGCGGAAATATCTGCCGTAAATATAAGATAGTAACTTTTACTATGAGCTTCATTCGGCAATTTAATTCAAGAATTTCTGTGATTCTTCTACCAAAAGAGTATAAGAGTATTAACTGACAGCCCAGGATTTAATTATCCACCACTTTTTTGACATTTTCCACATCGTTTGCAATTATTACTAACTAGCATTCAAAAGCATGATGGCTGGAAAAAAAGGCTGCTTTATTGCTGGCTTCGTACTGTGAATGTAGTAACTTATTCACATTTTTTCACGAATTCTAACTCAAATGCACCAAGGCATACCATAGGAAGGCGATTCAACACAAAATATCCACATAAGCAACGATGCCTCATGAGTAGGCGTCAATTGATTAAATTACCTTAATGCATTAAGCCGTATTTAAGACGATTTATATAATTTCCTTAACGATTTTATCAGGATACCATTTCAAACTCTTGTCCGTTTATATCATCAAAGGTGTGATCATCATTGATTCACCTAAACAATAACAAAATTATTACTAGACTTAAAATGACAAATCCTAGCTGTTTCTATAGGGCATTATTAATTTTACTGCTTATATGTAGTCGGGTAGTTAGGTTGCATATTTTCATATAAGTTAAAAGTTGGAATTCATTGACAAGACAAAATCGTGAAACTTGAAATGGTCCATTGAGAGATGATAAAACAGAGACTTTGAGACGAACTGACAAAGTCGAAATGTGTTTTAACGACCTTAGTAATGCTGTACCCAGTCGCGGCGCCTCGATTGTTTTCTGTGGTCCTCCAAAGACTCATTCTTATGCCCGTGCTTCACCTTGCGAGTGCCTCGTACATAATCCATATCTCCATACCACTGTTGCTTCCTCAGGCTTCTGCTAAACTCCTTTATACCCTTAAAAACATTCTTCCGCAGTTCTTCCAGCTCTGGAGGTGGTGGTTTCTGTTGTGCCTGCTGTTGTTGCTGTTGCTGTTCGGGTGGCGGTTGACCTTGACCCTGTCCTTGTTGTGGTGGTGGCAGTGGCTGGTATTTTTGCTGCACCCGTGATGGATGTTGATATGGTCCAGCGTCATAAGCGTCACCCCATGCTTGTTGACAGTCTTGACACCCTGGATGGCCATAATTCATGGGAGTAAAAAGTGATTTGCTACGTTTTGATCCCCTACTACTTCGCCTTGAACTCCTTCCATTTCGTTGAGCTCTCGGACCTCCAGGCCAAACGTAGTCATAGCAGCTGTCATCACTGTCACTGTCGCTGCTGTCGCTAACCCGTCGTCCGCAACGATGTCGACACTCTTGATATCGATGGCATTGCGGTCTATGTTGATGCATTTGTCGACATTCTCGACTTCCACTATGTCGCATGGAAGTTCGCCGACACATATCACAATGGTCATAGCCGTGATTATGACACTGATTATGACCGTATCTTCGGTTCATGCCATCGTGGTGTCCGTGTTGGTGCTGCGAATGGCCGTGCTGGCACCCTGATTGGCTACGAGGGTCGTCGCAATGTATTTTTTGGATGCGTTGGCCTCGATGTCGACTGCAGATGTGCTGTGCCATCCTAAGACTCCCAGAAGCAGTGAAGTCGAGCTTATATTGTGTGCTACTTATTGCCAATATCAATTAGTGTGGATGAACCTATCATACCTCCTTCTAATTCACTTACCTCCTCTTCGCTCGCTCACTCACTCACTCGCTCGCTCCCTTTATGTGTGTGCAGACGCAATTGCGGAGTATTAAAGCAAATTCTGACAAATCAACTTCTTCTCCGAGATTGCTGAATTTTCCTTCTTCTTCTTTTTTGAGTAAAGAAAAGTATTGGGTTAGTTAAATAGGCCAGATTGGTGATGAGAAAAATTGTGGTGGCATTTTTTCTGGAGAGATGGTGATGCAGAGCAAACTGTGGGAAAATATTCCGGAATGAGGAGCATCTTTAAAGCCATCTTTTTATCTGTAAAAATTACTGTGTGTTGGAAAAATAGCCCGCAGCAATTGATTTAATTTGGCATCGTAAAATTTGGGAGCGTTGAGTCCTTCCTCCCTTGTAAAGTGCCCCCATTAACGGTGGAGAAATGCTGGTTCCATACCCTCTGCCTCCCGATTGGTTTGTTACTCTAGGGCTTCCTTGAATTCATCTTGACAGTTGTTTATTGTTGATATTAAACCGGATATGTTTATAAGTTTAAAAGCATACTGTCAGGCTACTTTGGATTGTAGAAAAAGGGACCCTTTAGATTTCACTTGTTCGGAAACACAAGTTGTTGACATGAGGAGCCCAATAACAACTAGTGGCATAGTGACTTATAAAATGAGCGTTGAGTTCGGGGCGAATGGAAAGTCAAAGGCCATCCATGGCACTTCGCTAAAGTCTCAGTAAGGCAGATCGCAGCTATTCACCGTAGTTAGCCGCAATGCTCCGGAATGTCTCATGAATAGGCAGCAGATATCATGGAAAAGAATGGTTCATATTTTGTTACACCTCTGACAACTGAAACGGTTCATTCTAGGTACTTTGGCATCAGTCAAAGAAATTCGTTCACCCACCTACCACCCTCAAACCGATGGGTAAGCGAAGGAACTTTTTGACACATTCAAGCGGGCGCTACTGCACAACTACAGGGTCGGGACAACTGCCAACATCCTAAAGAGCTACTTACTGAGTTGCAAGACGGTTTCATAAAAAAACCGTAAATGGACTGCGAGTTGTGTTAGGTGGACAAGGCAAATGATTTAGGGCCAGAAAATGACTCTGAAGATCATTTACCAACATTGTAGTCAATGCCAATCTTTGGCGTCTACGCTGGCAACTGTTTCCTGGGTCACGGTAGCCGAAGTGCTACTCAGACTCGGACTCCTAGAGGAGGTTCTGAAAGCCACTTGCATCTGGGGCAAGCTAAAGAAGCAGCGTCAGTGTAACCTGTAGCCCTACCTGTCAACACACCACCAGAGACTTTCCTAATACCACCTCTGTCCCATTCCCGCCAGGGAGAATACTCAAGGTGGTAAGGATTTCAAAGATTATGGCTGCTGAGCGAGAGTCTGATTACACCAAGAGTCCGGTGTGCCAGTACTTGACTACTGGAGATGAAGAGCGGTCCTATTCTTCTTTTATTGGAGGTTAGTTCCGACCTTATCAGCGTTCACTAACTCATTTAAAGTCCACCTGTCCGCGACACTGACCAGTCGGCGAACCGAAATGAGGGCGTGCAATTTTAGAACTTGACACCTGAATCTTGACTGCACCGTGATCCATCCAATTTTGACAGTTTTACAGTCTCTCAGGTCGTAAGCATTGCGCATTCTTCCCTTCAAACGTTCGTAGCGATACAAAGTGGTTCAAGTTAATCGGGAGAAAATCCGTCATTAAAAGCGCGACATTGTCAGAGCTAAATGGCAAAAGGAGTCGCATTAACAACTCCACACCTACACACTACCAAGTGTATGGGAGCCTCTCAAAAGCCTTCCACGTGGTGCTCATTAATTAGAATGAGTGATGAAGACCCACTTGACAGGTGGTGATCGTCAAGTCGTCATTCTGCGCCAAATTAAATGCTTTGGTGGTTTAAGCCTAGGAAGAAGGAAAAGGAAAAAGATAAAACCCTGAAACCAACAGCATAAAGACGTTGGAAATACCTCCAGAGGATTATGAGTTCAAGCTAACACCCATGTGTTTTGCCTTAAAGATAATAAATTAATCTACTCATTTTTAAGCAAATTTGCCCCCTTCCTCTGTGATTTTATTTCATCCAACGTGACCGTAAACTGAGTGCTGGAAGGGATGTTTCAGTGCTTAAGGAAAAGGGCGAAAGAGGGGAAATTACCACCTCAGCCACACTTGACCTATTGATTAGACTCTGATTCCAACTATGTAGTGCCGCTACCGGTCAAATGGGTCATTGCTCATGGCGTCTGGATGGTGGCGATGACCAGTTGTGTTGGCACTTCCTCTTCCATACAATATTCGCAACCACTTTCATTTTCATGTGACAGGTTTAGGCGCTCCTGTCTTGTCTAGCGTCTTAAACTTGTGTCAACTTCACCACCGACCACCAATTCTACATATCGTTGAATTAAAGAAGCTCTAACTATATGTGCGCTTAATGACCTTATCCCTCTAGTGACCTGGCAATGGCCAAATGACTGCGACAACATGGCTACTTATTGTAGGCATGAGAGAAGCTCCCTAACCAATCGCACTCTCGTCTCTGCAACAGTCGATCATGGAAATTAAATTTAGAGGCGTTTAAATAAAAAAAACAATCATCTTAGATTGGCCGTCTTTTAAGGGCCCCAAAAGTTGTGTTATTTTCGATTACGGGCTAAAATCTTGCTTGAAGAGTGGAAATGAGCGGGTAGAACCGGCTCGTGCACGTTGATTTTACACCTTACCCAAAAAAAATGTACATTTCTAAAATAAAGTTAAGTTTTCTCGTTGTGAGGCGCCTTATGATCTTATATCGAGGAGTCAGATTAAATTTCTTGATAAAACTTCGTCTAATGTGCACATAAGATCCAGCATCATCTTTGGCGTTTGTAGTTCCTATCGATGACAGGAGTTCATCCTTTAAGACCACGACAACCGTACTAACTACGCCAACCACACCAGACTTTAATAACACCACAACAAACCAAACACTAAACCAGCACTCGATCCATGTCCTAAAGAGTAAAAAAAACCTAAAAACGAGACAACAATATGTGATAAACTTAAAATGCCAACCAACGCTTGCCATCTAATTCTCTGCACGCAGTAATCGCACAACAAATAAATAACCAACAAAAGTTAAATCAAGCACAAAAAACGTACTACGATATGCCATGCACCTAATTTACTTCTTGTTTAAAAACGCCGCCTCCTAAGGGTAAACTAAACCCAATTTAAAAATACATCAACCAACTATTTCTTTTCTTTCCGTTTTTTTTTGGCCTCTACTCTTACTGTGCACAAATCTACGTTGAGGCTGAGGACTGGCTGCATTGAGTCCATTTGCTGGGTCGTTTGGGGAGGCATAATCGCCACATAATCTCGTATCTATCCGCTAGGAGTTGTCTTAAAGACTTCGACTTCTAGAAGCTCTTCTTGTGGTCTATTTAAATTATATTGCTATTAGAAAATAACCGCGGTATACTTCCCATGATGACTTTAAATTTGAGCAAGAATAAAACGCCTACTTAATTTTTGCAGTAGCCAGTCTTAGTTTTTCGCCATTTCTTGTTTCTTGAATTGGCAAATGTATGATGAGGGCGTCAAAATCAGGCAATCTGCTTCAATAATCGAGCCATTTCGCATCCACTTCACACAAATCGTAGCATGCGAGTAGACATGTCAAAACAAGCATAATTCAGCAATATTGTACAATAGTGATATAAAAAATATCAAAGAAGCTAAGCTTACACAGAATTGGAACAATCTTATGACTCCTAGTTATTTACTTTGGAAGTCTACAACAGCGTTTTTATTATCGTCCAGAGCTAAAGCATACCCTCATAAGCCCTGTTTAGTCCTCGTTTTAATCCGTTCTGCCAGGAGGGGCGCTACTTTGCGCCAGTCATCAAAACATGAGTGAAGGGAGATTAGCAGGGAGGTGGAAGGGGAGATTAAACGGCAATTACTGAGTGCACTAGTTGCCAGTGTTGTAATTTGCAAAGCGCACTACAAAATATTCATTTGAGCTAAAGGCTGTACCCTAAGGAGCATATGCCAACCCTCCAAACGGTTATATGAGGTGATCTGTGTAAACTAGTGACCTTACTTCATTAGTGACAGCTAAAAATGGCTCGAGATTGGTGATTTTGCGGATTTTACCCATTCTTACCGGGTGCGTCACTACTTCGGTACTTTGGAGGTGTATGTCAGATGTCAGCCCTCCATGATCTCATGCAGAGGTGTAAGGGGGAGGTTTATTTGTTGGCTTACTTAGCAAATCTCCAAAGCGGAGATGTGGGACTTGAATCCCATAAGCTCATTCCGTGTTTTGTTTATCTTAGTCTCTACATTTTAAAGCTTATTACCTCCAATTAGATGCTCCATACTTATTACCTTTTCTGTGGAATCTACTGCCCAAGCTGATAATTTTAAAAAGGAAGCACAAAAAAAAACGATTTATTTAGGTGCTGGAGTTGAGGTGTCTTCTTCATGATTAAGTGGACCTGTGCCTCCATTTCACTGCTTTAGTCGCTCAAATGTCTCAGCTAGGTACTTCGAGTGCCATGTCATACACCAATCAGCGTCACGCATCTGCACACACGAACATTGATGGTCAACATGGTGAGAGTCTGCTCTGATTGGTCAAGACGCAGAGACCTCCTGGGCCTTCATTTAATCCAGGTGCCTAGGCTTACTGCGAGGGTTTTTTAGTGATTAATATACGTCGAATAGTTGACTAATAATGATGTGATACAGAGGAGAATTGCAGAGCTTTGTTGAAAAAAAAAAAACACTGAATGGGAGCTCAAAAACTAGCTAGCCAATGAGAATGGAGTCAGTCGAAACCGAGAGGTTACTTTCAATTTATGGAGAAAAATGGCGTTTACGTGCCTAGGCTTTGGTAAAAAGCATCAGCAATAGCTTGAGTTAGTCTTTAGATAGAAATAATATAGCTGATTGAGCACATGCTACTTTTATTCTATAAGCCGCATCTCCAAAGCCACATTTTCGCCTGAGAATTTTTATTTAATTCCTTTTTTCTTGCTTTTTTTATTAAGATTTTACCATCCTTTTAAAAGCGCATACCTTACTGAATAGCTGCATGTTCGGGACTTTAAAGTGGCTAGGACTGCGAATGGCATATGCTTCTTAGCTCCAAACTCACTAGATTGTGTCCTTTTACGCTCACCTTCCCATCGTCTGCAAGACTAACTTTCCTGGTGGGGTCTCTTGATGGAGGAAAGAAACCTTTAACTTAAAAATCCACGTCGACGTAGTAAATTTGGCATTTACGTCCCTTCACAAAATGAAAACAAATTTGTTTGGTGCATCATTACTTTAATCAGGCTCACCTGCCAGTGAATGAGTCTCTACCACGAGGTGAAAAGACGCAAAATAAATGGCAGCAAATGGCGGCTCTAGAGTAGCAGAATTTAAGGCTAGAAGAAAAGTGCCAAACAAATGGTCCATTATCAACAGTCTACCAGGGGCTGACTGGGCAAACTACATCAGATCAGCCAGTTCTTGCAGACCTTCACGGTAGCGTGGATCATTTGCGCGCTGCTTGTTGTGTAGTGGAATGGTAATTTGTGAACGTGGATTTTTTTCCGGTTTGCTCGCGTACATCTTGTGCATCTTGGAGGGCCCCTTAGTATGCTTGCGGCTTCGGCTATCTCTGTAGCCTGGATAGCTGGCTGCACCTGACCATATCACTGATCTCCTGGATGCGCTTTTCACCTCGATTGGAGATTTGGCGTGTTTTCTAACCCTTACATCATAATGATGGGATTTTGTATAGATACCAGCCCCATCTTTGGAGTGTTGACGATCTGTACCTAAAGGGAATCATTAAAACTTGAGCAGAACGGCCTCAATGGTAAAGTTGGGGGAGGCGAAGCTTTAGAAGCAATCCGCGACATTGTTTTTCTCAAATCAGGGAAATAATAACCAGGTTATTTGCATTCCTGGCTTAAAATATTATAAAGAATACTTTTACTTTTTAATAAATGAGTACATAAAACCAAAGTCTATTGAATTTGGGGCAAATTTCGTCACCTTTTCACTGTACTAATAAATTTTTTTATACGCTAGGTGGTTTTAGTGATCAGGCGCTTGCTAAACCGGGAGCCTCAATCGCCACAATCTGTACTTCTGTCTTGGCGGCACCGCCCAAAGGAGAGGATTGTAACCGTCCAGGCCTTCAACATCCCAGCGCTAGGCCGCCTTCTACGGTGAATATACCTGCTTCCACGAGTCGCCTAAAAGACCCAACGTTACCTTCCACATTCTTGCCCGACATCCGTCAGTTCAGCGAAAGTCACCATCAATTCTCAAAATTATCCAGTAATGTGTTCAAAAAAAATGGACAGGAAAGTCAAAAATTATAAAAACTTGAATTAAACAAACAAATTACAATTTGGCGCATTTTTAACCCCTTTTTTTTAGTAAGGAAAGTTCTAAATCCTATCAGAAATCTGGTCGAGCCTTGGCACCGCGGCCAAGAAATACTTAATTAAAGTCAGCTTTTCTGCAATTGAAATGTAAAGTTTTCCTGGTTTAAAACAAATTTTTAAGAGTTTTTTTCTCTTTTCACAATTGAATGAGTCTAAAATTGGCGATTAATTCCTCGTCGAGCACTATTCCAAGCCTTTTGGTGAGCTAAAGTACCTACTTGGATGCTCGAGTTCGCTTAAAGTGCTATCAAATAAAAAATTAATTTTCCTTAAAAAATAGTAATTTTTCCCTTCGGCAACGGTAAAGATGTAAGTTAAGCAACAGGAGGCACGCTGGACATTAAAGTTCCACTCTGGCATAGATTCAGCAAGTAGGCGAACATCAACGCCGACAAAACGGACAAGAGGTACGCCGGAGTGGAACAAAGGTGAAATTTTTTGAAGGGATTAGTCAGTCATCCAGGATTTTATGAAAAAATAGGCAGGAAGGTTAAACCGAGTAACAACCTTAGGGATTAAAAATGCGGTGGAGATGGCGGAGTGTAAAAGGTGAAATTAAATGCAAATTTCAAGGTTTTTTTTAAGGAAAAAATATTTTTTACATAGATAATACTTACGTGCTTGAATGGTCAAGACGAAACAAATGAGAGCAAACAGAAGAAGGAGGTTGTGGATCTGCTAGGAGGAAAAAGGGGGGAAGAATTGACCGTTACTCCGCATAACTTTCTTGCAGAGGTGACAGTGTCAACACTGGTGAACTTACCGACATCTCAAAAGGTAAGACGGAGGGCTGCTTAAGTCCTGCGTTCTTTTATGCTCTACACCGAATTTTAATTTGATCAGAAAACGTGGCACCTCATTGGTAGCGAGAAGCAAACACCTGAGAGCTCGCGACGTCGCTAGTATTCGCGCGCCTCGTTGCAATGAGTGTGATGGAGTGAAAAGCTAGTTGCAACGACTGCTTAACAGAGAGGCCTCTTCTCCCTCCACCAATATCGTGTGAATACGTCTTCCATTAAAACCACGTCCACTCTTGAAAGATCCTCCGAATCAGGTGGACCGAGAGCAAGAATAAGGTGATCGAAGGAGAGCTAATCGTGTTATCGCGTGAGTCCAGAACGATTTAGAAGATGCGTTTGCCGTGAAACATGGTTTGCCTCTTCGATTCCTCTCGCAAATAATTTTTTCCCCAGTGGAACCTTTTAGCCTCCCATGACACCTGCAGTCTGTATTTTTGCCAATATGTAGTCTGCGAATTCATCTAAGCTTCTCCGATTCTCTTTATCTAACCACCTCAAATCACTAGTAGCCTTTCTAGGTCAGTGGAAGGGGACCGCAGCTAACGCCCCCGCATGTAGTGACTAAGAGCTTATCTGTGTGCCCTCCTATGTCGCCAACAGCTTGACCTTCAAGCTATCCTGTAAGTTTGGAAAAGAATGAGTTAAGGGTTTAGAACTTATCTACTTTGAAATCTTCTCAGTGCTGAAAACGCAGTATTAAGTCCCCTATGTCGTAATAATACTGAGAATTAAATCAGCAACCCACTACTCACGAGAAAAAGCAGTAATTTTTTTAAAGGCAGTTGTTAATTGTAGTGATGACTAGATTCAAACGTGAGAACAACATAAAAGTAGTCAAGCACGATACACCAAGTCATTACATGAGATCGCGCAATTCTTGGAGGCCCTCGCGGTAGCGTGGATCGCTAGCCCGTTGTTTGTTGTGCAGTGCCACAGGTCTAACCCGAGGCGAGGGCGTTATGACACCCCTTCTAGACAAGTAGGTTCGAGGAGGAACGGCTGGTCTACGTGCTGACTCTCTTTGGGGATGTCTGTAGCCAGGATAGCTAGATCTACCACTCCACATCACCTTCCTGCTGCGATTTTCACCAGCAGCTCCAATCAGTACTGTTCTACTTTTGTCTCTGTCATCCTTGTCATCATGATCGTCGTCAAAGTCGTCGTAGTCATCGTCGTCATGATCGTCATGATCGTGGTGGTGATCCCTATCATCATCGTCATCGTCGTCATGACGCCAGCGATATCCTAAATGGATTCATTAGAACAAAAGCGGGTCGATTTTTGCAGTAGCTAGAATAAAACAAACCCATTTGATTAAAGAAATAAGATATAATCTGGAAATTAGTTTTTAGGTACTTTAATTGACAGCCTCAATTTACTAACCAAATTTTTGTTGGTATTCCGCAAACAATAAAATTTAAAAGTGAACGGAAATAAAAGAGAACCCATTGGTAGGTTTTTCCGCCAAGAATGATCACTCTCCCTTGAAAGCTCTAAAAAATCTTATAATTTCCTCCTTAATTGTCAACAGTGACCTCAAGATCGTAGACAAGCGATATTGGCAGCCTTTTTGAGCACCTTTACCGATGTTTAAAAGAATTTGTGATAGTGGTGCATAAATGACGGAATTCTTTAAATAGGCCGGTCAAAACCGCCTATCCTTTCTGGATTCTCGTCCCCAAGACGCATTCACGGCTACCCCAACTAGTTCTTGCGTAACTCAGCCTGGGTTTTGGTCCTCAATTGAGGGCCCACCGAGTCAAACATTGCGAGACACTATTCAGTGATGCCTCAAGATCAAATGACCTTAAAATTTAGAAGGAAGACTGCACAAATCTTAGAGAAAAAGTGAAAGATATTTTAGCCAATTTCACTTACCGCTGTGGTGAGCGAAGGCCGTGGACACCAAGACGACCAGGAGGAGGAGTTTGCAGATCTAACAAGGAAATGCCAGTACACCTTTATTATCCCACATATTTCGAAGGGAGACCCTTCTCAAACCCAGCAGTGTCAACCCTACGTGACTTACCGACATCGCTACTAGGTGATATGCTGGACGATCGAATCGCGCGGTCTTTTATACACGACGCCGAGGCTCTGATATCTCATTGGTTGTAATACCTAAACAACCGAGCACCCACACTATCACCGGATCTCACGCGCGTGCGCGCCTTTGTAGATCACCGAGCCCGACATACCTAGTCAGATGAGCTTCCACTTTTTTCTAGGAAAAAGATTTGGACTTTTGGTCCACTACCACCATGAGGACTTTGCTTTCCGTTTCACCTCACAAACATTTAGCTCCCGTAACATTACTTTATAGCGAGATAAACATGGGGTAATTTCGCGAAAGATTTAACTTACCCGCATGGTGAACCTGAAATTGTCGATTAGCCGAATCGGTTGCGCCTTTTATACAGTCATATATACAGTTTAGATCTAACCTTATCATCAAAAGACTCGAGCGTTGGGATAATTACTTCCGATGGCGAATAGAGGAGTAATTGCTCCCTTGAAACGCGCCTAGACCGTGATTTCCTCCCCTCGCTTCACTCAAACGACAACAAAGTACAATTATTCCGACTGACAACAAACTAAATATTGCGTGAATAATCAGCTCGTAAAACATATCTAAGCCTTTAAATCCGATTTAGTGGAATATTGCAAGCAAAACTGGCTCGAATTTGGTTTGTTAAACAGGAAAAACAAGCGGTGTAAACATTTATCAGGTCTTATTTTACGCATTTGTTCCTCCACGAAGATGAAATAGTGTAGATAAACAACCGTGCAAATAAACAATCGTCATTCGTTCGTGATATGCCTGGCAATAGACACAAGGCACCTCTTAAGGTAGTATGAAGATTTCTATGATTAGATGAATGGAGCTTTTAAAAAATTGTTTAAATTCTGTCAATTGACCACTCCTGACACCCTCAAAGCAGAGCTTTAAGGAAATTCTAAAACTGTGTTTTGTCTCGTTGTATCGTTTATGTGAAATTTCAAGAACTAATCTAACCTTGCCCTGGCCTGGAAACTGCACCACGATGTATGGAAATAAGTTAACTAATTTGTGGAATTTTTTAGCACCAAAGGACTTTTTCGAGAGTCACCCGCATCTGGACAGAATGAGAGCGAAATGGAAGAAGTGATTGCGGAGCGGAATCGTGAGTTCTAGCCTTTATAACTCATGTAAACAACAATGTCTGAATTCTTAATTAGCATTTTATCAGTTGCATGGCCTTAGCGACTTGTTAATGCCTTTAAGCAAATAATCAGTTGACTAATTCCCTCATGATTGGGGTCACTAATCCGCCAAGGAGAATTAGTGGCTGGCCCTGCAGAAGAATAATCAGGGAAAACTGCATAATTCCCCTTTATTTGCTTCGTTTTTCTGTTTTTTTTTTAATGCTATCAAAACTCTTCTGTTTTAAACCACGTTTAAGGTCAGTTGAATTGACTGTTCGGCTTTCAACTGGGTGCTAGTTCCACGGCCAGTTAGTTAGTTCGCAGCTTTCAAGCAAAGATTTACTACTTCTTGACGTCCAAATGCTGTGATATTTTAAAATATGATTTCAATTGTATTAACACTTTACGTGACTTCATTAAAAATGTCTACTCTTTAAGCTGCTAAGAGGCATGCAGTTCTTGAACGCTCATCTCCGTTTCATTAGCCCGTCTTTACTAGATCACTGAAAAATTATAAAAATGCCTTTAGCTGTTTAGTTTTAAATGGTCATAATTATTAAAATGGGAAGGAAAGCGGACTATAAATTAACTGTGTCAACTTATTTTATCCTTCACCTTCCCCCTTTCTTTTCTTGTCTTAGTTATTCCCGATTAACTTGATGAGTTTAAGCCACCTTGCAGTCTGCTACGTGCTGATCAAATTTCCAAAGTACAGGGTGGGATTTGTTGTGTGGAGATAGGGTACAAAGTGTCAATTAGGTTTTATGCTGATGAGTGTGACACTTGCATCAGCAGTTGTTGGGCCGAGAATCACACGTCATGTGATGCGGTGACCGCGAATTTGCGTAAGCAGGCGACACGATGGCTAAATAAGCAGGAAAAACCTCTGTACATCTTAACTTTTTTTCTCCGCAAAATGGCTATTTAAGTATATTTGTCATACAGATAATTCTAAATTCCGCCCTCTCGAAGACTGAGCTTCTTTCGGTCTCCCATCTAGTACCACTTACATATGAATTCCAATGTTATTTGCTGAGTTTCCACTTCACGATCTTATGACGTAGGCTTAACATTGGTTTGGTGAAACCGACTGTATCAGAATAGGTCGCAAACACTTCGGTTGTCGTAAACAATAAAGTTGATGTGTTAGTTTGTAATATTGCCCATTTAAACACCTACCAGCTATTAACTGGTGGTGATGTTAGTAAGGTGATCCATTTTACAAACCATCCACTTCTTAGTAGTAAAGCTGCTCCCATGCTGTTTCCATGACTTGGGTACCACATGGGCGAAAAAGGTGACGAATCTGCCTCACCCTACACTAAATGAAGTCATTAGAGGGGGAAAAGGCTGTGTATAAGCGTCTGAAATTCCACCGACTCTTTCGCACCTGAGCACTACACGGCGGGAATAAGTGGAGCAAGAATAGATTTTAAATAGACCGGTTTCTTTAAGAACTTGGTGAAATACAGTGTACAGGTTTAATCATCAGCAAATGCGAGGGCTCTTCTCCATCTTTTATGGTCTTTGCATGTAAAAGAAAAGATAGCCTCTTTAACTACGAGAAGTTTTACAGACGGACGGACCTTAACGAAAGTGATGTGGAGCTCGCAGCAAAAATTACTCCCGAATGGGTCGGTCTCCCACATTTTGCAGAAACACTTGGCCTCCCAAAGTAACCTCAAATGGTCAGGAAATTAGAGCTTTGAAACCACTAAGCGCGAAGCCGCATGTGCTACAAAGGCAGAAAACGTCATCCATAGTGATAAACAAAGTTAGAAATACGCAGCCAAAGGATTTTGTGCAACCTTCGAGGTGGTCCACTGCGATGCCCTGTTACCATTTGTAGAAGCTGCAGAATGCATGACGATGTGCCGTGGCTGGTTGTAAGTCTGCCTGTCTGTGTGGACCAATTACAGTGAGATGTGGCCTGCTGCTGTAGATCCAACGGTCTGAAAGGGCCATATGTTCTAAATGAATACAATTTGGCCACTGGAAGTTAACTCGGGCTGCAAAGATCCGGTAAATATATGCCCCCTTGACGGGATACAGGACCACTTAGACTGAGGAATCGGCGATCTGAAAGCCTCCTTTTTACTCCCTCGTGGCAACGCAGTACATCATACCTCCTAGTGTCTTAAAGATTGTCCTGTGAGAAATCCTTCTAATGCACTTTTTGATGACAGAAACGATGTAGGGTACGTGACAAATTGCCACGTGATCGCGTGCGTGACAGAATCGGAAGTTGGTACCTTTTCGAGAAAGGAAGAGAAGTTTCTTTGCTCATATCTCTGGCGCTGGGGCAGAATTTATTGTCTGTTGACCAGGTAGACCTCCTAATTTAGGATGGTGGTTCTACCCACTCAAAAACTTTGGTGGAATGATTATGGCCGGTGCAAGGCCTTCTTCTTTCAATTGACAGGTAAATCAATCTGTTAGTGTGCAGGATTCAACCATCTTGTACTAATAAAGAGAGAGGTGCAAAATATTAACCTATTTTTTAAATAAATCATTTTCTTTCAATAGAAGCTATATTTAGTAAAGAATTCCAACTCAATATCAGCATTCATACGAAAGGCGTTGGGGCGATGCTAGGCATGACTGCCAAAATCGGCACTGAGCTTGGGTTTTAATGTATGCTTTGATGTATCGTTTCGGGTTAAAGGTTTCTCATGTAAAAAGGGAATTGTAGCCTCAGAGATGTGTCAAACGTATTTTGGAAAGGTCCATTTACATACTGCATTGATTACTTTAAGCTCATTTAATGAAATAAGGAGAATAACTGTAAAATACAGATTTTTTAAAGGACAGAATCTAATCAGCTGTGATCGATCCTATGTATGGTAATTATTTTGAGAGGAAAAAGCCTGACTTGAATGTTGTGCGCGCTAGGTGGCTGAGGTTAAAACAGTATCGAGGAAATTGCACCCACTAACAAAAAAGTTTATGTTTAGCTGAAGTCTTTTACAGTCAGTATACAAGGACAAACAGAGAACTATACATCCCTTTAAGAGTGGGTAAAAATGTAAAGATTTCATTAGGACTGCACCGTTTATGGGCTTTATAGTGTAGGGCCGGTAAAAGCAATAAAACTGGCTTAATAACAAATATTAACCATATTTTAAACTAACTTTGTCTTGTTTGTAGATGGCGGAGTAAGCTAGGACTAAAGTTAATTATGTTGACCTGGTTGTAGTGCAATTGAAATTTTGTTTTTCCACCATTTTTCTCCGCAACTTAGGCAACAGAATATTATTTTATAGAATATAACAAAAATTGGAAATATCGTGTAAATGCCCTATCTGAAGATTAATAAGCTGACAGGTGTAGTTTGTATTTGTTCGCAAAGGTGTCGGCCAACGCGGGTCGTACAAAGTCGCTCCTAAGATTACGAAATGCACTTAACAGGTTGGCCTCGTGGAACAGCCGAAAAATTTTTGCATCCCGCACCTGCTTCTAAGACAATAACTTTGTACGTTCCTTAACGATATGCTCCTGTTTGTGTACTGTTCTAGGACAAGTTGTATCTTGAGGGATCGCCGTGCATTTTGTCTCTACTCCGGAAACATATTGTACCAGTTAGAAAAATAGATTTCGTTTCAATCATTGGTTCACCAATGATTTATACTTGTCTTTAGTTCCCCGAATGTACACCTCTATCCCTTTATCTGCCCATGTTAGCCTTCCACTCGATAATCTACTCACCTGGCCTTGAACGTCTAGATATCCTCTGAAAAGCTACAGTTTTGGGACAAAAGAGCCCAATTATGAGCGTGATCGCAGCGTGCCGGCACGATTTCAACGCCTCCAAGAGGATTTTGAGAAGTATGGAATGAGGCATTCTGTAGAGGGTGTTCTTTTGGTCCATGAGCACAACCTTCCTCACGTACTTCTCCTCCAGCTTGGGACGTTTTTCAAGCTTCCTGGTGGTGAACTGCACCCTGGCGAGGAAGAAATGGAGGGTCTAAAGAGATTACTCTCGGATGTGAGTGAGGAGCTTTGTTAAGGTGATGTTTGTGTGTTGTAAACGCCTCTAGATGTGTCTCCTTCAATTGCAGATGTTGGGGAGGACAGATGGAGTGCCAGTGGAATGGACTCCAGAGGAGTGTATTGGTAATTGGTGGCGACCGAATTTTGAGCCTCCGCGCTATCCCTACATCCCTGCTCACGTGACGAAGCCCAAGGAGCACACGCGTCTCTACCTGATTCAGCTGCCCGAAAAGACACTCTTTGCAGTGCCATCGAACTACAAATTGGTGGCGGCACCGCTGTTTGAACTCTTCGATAACTCTCGCGCTTACGGACCCATTATCTCATCTCTTCCGCAAGTTCTTAGTCGGTAATTTGTCTTGACGCTTATTTAGTAACTTTGGGGATTAAGTGTCTGCTTTTTTCGCATGAAAGCTCTTCTGAATATTTGGATTGACCTGTTAACTATCGAGCTTATTCGCTTTCTTTGTTTAATGATGGAACTTACATGCTTCGCACATTTGACCCGATATTCTTACCTGAGACTGATGACACAAATGTGCGAGGTGTTGTTTTTCATTGTACAATTGATTGCACAAAATTATTCTTTAGGGTCTTTGGATTTAAAGCTGTGAAACATGTGTGCAGAATACTCCTGGTATGAATGTAATTGCCTTTTTATTTTTCCGGTTGTAGTGGTTGAGTTGATCGGCTTGGTAGTTTCAAGTTAGATTAATAAGACATCTCGAATTTTGTGTCCTACTGTTATCTAAATTCCCCACGGTGAACTCGGCGATGGTCGCTCTGCCATTTTCTGCCTTATCTTCAATTTGGGATTAATAAGTACCATCATTTGGAAGAGACGGCTTCGTTTCTCCGATGTCTTTTTGGAGTTGGGTGGGTTGCTAAATTCCCTCACAATAGAAAGCTCTGCCACAATTGACTAATTTCATGAATGAGCGGGTTTCAGTTATCTAAATTTTCACCTCTTTGTTAGTTTAGTCTTTCACTTCCTAATGTCAGACTTGATTGGCCTTTCGTCTAATGAACGTTTTTTTCCCAGCCTTCCCGAAAATTTTGCTGTTATTGTTAGAGGAATGCAATACATGATATTTAGTGTTTGAGGCATCGAAACTTCGTTGTATCTATTTGAGTCGCGTCCCCTCATCAATGAGGTTCCGCTGGCGCTCTCTCCAATTCTTTACAATCCGTTTTTGTTTCAACTTTTAGATTCAACTTTGTTTACAACGATTAAGAACGCCCTCAATTCCGACTGAGCGTATTTGGGGTTCCACTTTTTTGTCTATGGTCTTTTGGAATTTAGGACCACTTTGATGCAGGGCAAACCGTTATAAAGTGTGTATTCGTTCCACTGACTTTGTTTTTCCACCTTAGCAGCCTTGAAGGGTAAAGTTATTCAAAAAAGATAAAGGGCTTTAGCACCTGACGGGGCCATCAATAGGTAGGAGGATTAGTACATGTTGTTATGGTGATGGATAGGCGGAAAGTCTGGTCTAGTCAAATCTCCCCTCTGCACAGGTGTGTTCATAGGGCTTATGGATGCAGCACGTCATGGTGGACTCCTGCAGCCCTTTTGCAAGCAAGTCCCTACGTAACCTGCCTCATCCCTTCGTTTGATTGGTTGATTACTGTAGGGATTGTAGTGGTTTGAAAGAACCAACCTGTTTGCCACCAGACCAAGTCATGTCAAATTACAGCTGTGAAGTGGCCAACTATGTCATAGCTTCCAAGAATTTCCTACATTCTTCAATGGGATCTGCACTACCCTTCCCAATCCTTGGCACTCACTGCTGAATTCCAGGCAGTAGTATGTTTATTCCAATACGATTACAGTTTATGATTATGCGATTTAAATAGGTTCCGTTGGGATCAGGGTCCATAAAATCAGGTTTAAAATGGGTTATCTAAAGAAGGAGAGAGATGGAGAAAGTGAAGGCGTTATTCAATGGCTATCGTGGGAAGTGAATTCAGAAACTCACCGGGATGGCAGGTCAACAAATGATAGCGGAGGTCAAGGTAACACTCGAACGCCATGCCACAAATTGTGCACGTAAAGGGGCGATGCGGAACTGGTGGCGAGAAGTAGGTGCTGCGCGAACGGCGGTTACCTGCAACCCTGTTAGCATCAACCCTGCCCAGTTGACTGCACGACGTTTCATGGTATTCTGCAGCACAGAATGGTAAGGAATATTTTCTTGGTTTGTGGAAGGGAGGACCTACGCTTTTCAAGTCGTGTAGGTGGTATGTCATTGTGGTCAAAATGTTCTTCAAGGTGTTCCTCTGCTTTGGACGAACCTATAATTCAAGTCTATAAGGGTGAAAAGCGCTACCGTCTGATTTGAGGCTGTAAGATTCAAGGGAAGGGGCTCTTTGCAACTTCTTGTATCCTCGTCTATCAGTGTTAAATTTCTTCTGGGCAGCAGAATCTGCAATTTCTGTTTGGTCGGGGAGGGGAATGCAAGATAGTTCCTCCCCTTGTCCCCAGCTTTCCCAGTCATCATCATTATCACTCTCTCCAAAGCATACGGTTAAGTCTGGTTGTTCCTCCCACTCGAGACTCTCGGATTGGGAGTCTGAAAACCATATTTCGGCAGGTTCGAAAATTAGGCCATTTCTGATGCCATTGTCATCACTGCCGTCGGAAGAATGGTCGGTGCTGGAATCATCGGACATAATTTGTTTTTCAGGCGCAGTCCTAAGGAATCAGATGGAATCAAATTAACTCTGTGGATTGCGTCTCTAGGCGACCGTATGTGAAACCAGACGAATGGGGTGCGATCGCAAATCATTGGATTACGTGACACAGACTGGTTGAGAGCAAATGCTGCTCGTTGATTGATAATTCATTGGAGGTTAGGGACTTCTTGAAAAGTTTAAATTTTTTGGCTGTAAACAGGGAAGGAAAGAAGTACTTATTGTCAAAGCAGCTGTTCAATAACTTGGTTACGTGCGTTTGATTCTACTGAGAGGTGATTCAGTAGATCGTCTTAGACGCATTTCATTGATATGGTTACCAAAAAACACCAAGGGATAAGATTGAAAAATCACAATGGAATGTGTACTCTCAACTAAGATTTGACAGCTGTAATGTGACTGATAACATTATCTCAGGGCAGTTCTTCGACGTTTGGAAATCACTCAGAAATGGGAGAAGAAAGCTGAAGAATGTTCACGTCTGCCATCTATAGTCGACTAGGATCTCGGTACGGTAGCCGCGGTACGGTATTTCTCAATTAGACGCTGAAGACAGAAGGCGTACTAAGGTGTTGATTAGAGTGTTTACTCTTTTTTGGTACTTCAAACGCATCTGTTTACCTGACTGTGATTATAACAGATCTGCTTCAATCGCCTGTTGGGTAGGAAAAAGTTTTTCTGTGAAACACGGAACAAAGTGCAATCGATGTCTTGAATAAGTTCACGAAAACTACTTTGCGATTTCTTATCCGGTTCCGTGAAGAATGTTTACCTCCTCAGGATTGAGAAATAGAATAAGAAAATGCAGATCCTAGTTTTCCCAAGACGAGGACAAATGTTATAAACTGAGGTCTCAATTCTCGAGGCTCATAACCGGATAAGTGGTGGACTGGGTCTTCATTGCCTGACGCCTGTAAGGAGGCACAGAGGTGCAACGTGCGTGCGTGAGTCTGACGGCAGGTAATTGGAGACTGTCTTCACTTTATACTGAATCTGATTCTGCACCAGAGCCATTCAGTCCTCTCAGTCGGGTCCCCGATTGACCTTCGCGTTAGCGGGCACGTTGGCACCCTTAAAGTGAAGTTAACGTGGTGATCAACCAATCAGGAAGGAGGAAATGCGAATGCGACCTTCTGTAAAGAGACCTCAAAAACTCTCAAGCTATTCTTCTTCACATCTTCACTTGCCTCATGAAGATGAGCCAGGCACTTTCAATCCCTCGGTGATTGTCTGGTTGTTTAACTGACTGGCTAGCTGAAAAGTGACACGCTCTACTCCCTATACTTGTCACGCTTCTCTGGCACGCACCTCCTCATCCACGGGCAATTGCACCTTTTTCCTCTTTCTGGCCGTGTTCGCGATGAACTTCACAGAATGTTAGACAAGCGCAGCTGAAATTTATTTGTTTGACATGAAATTTCTTAGGGAATGTCTACTGTTGGTCAGTCAGTAGCAATGGATCATCCAATCTTGATCAGTACGAATGCAGTGGATCAACCTCCCTTTCTCCAGTTCACTAAGGGGGCAAACTTCTGGATAGAAGAAAATCGTCGAGACGCATCACTGACGCTAGGAATTGAATACCTACATGCCATGGGTAAGCTCCAAAACTTTTTCCCTCTTCCGATGTTCTAGAAGGTTCTCTGTGTTTCGTCACGTTCGCTCTTATGTGTGTAATCACGAATCTGTCAAGTTGACAGCCTATAACTGTGAGGATGAGGTCCCCAGTATAGGAGCCGCTCCTGCTGACCACTTGGGTACCCTCAGACTACGGCGTGTACGTACGTGTCCACTGCACAGATATGATGGGGCGCGACAATGTTCAACACTCTGACGTCTTTTTAATGGTCCTTACCTTCCAGGAGATAGTAGCACATTTAAAGTGTCTCCAAGATGTGCTGATCAATGAGAACCAGACTAACCGAAATCCTGAATTCTGGTAAGTTCCGAAGAGGAAACTACTGGAAACCTCAAGATGTACCGAAACAGGAGCGCAAGTTTTCCACCCTTGCAAATTCTCTCTCTGCCTGCCCCTACCTCGAATCTTCTGGAATTTTACGCAGTTCGCAGCTTTATTGAGTTTTCTTCACCATTCGGTGAATGTAACGCGGGGACGCTGCACCATACGGACAAAGTCATCAAGAAGGGTAGAAGTACGTGAGAATGGTGACCACCCGTGTACTCCGACATCCCTACACTACCCACGCTCGGAGACACCCCAATCGCCGAATGGAGTCTCCTCTCAAGTCTTTTTCTGACCGGAAATGTCACTGCCTTGTGCTTACTCACGGGAGCTTTAAAAATGAGGGCTTGTTCTATTTATTCATTTGACTACTCAGATCCCTCAATCGTCCGTGTTAGCAAGGTGCTCCTCTGGCCACTTCTGTGGCTTGTTACCACTTGAGAGACGGCTTGAAATGTCCCAACTTCATGGTATCTTGACGCTTTCTCTGTTGTCACTAGTTATTTGACAGCTGATTTGTTGTTTCAACGAAGGCCTTACTTAGAATTTGAAGTGGTGGAGTGTTCGCATCCACCCACCATACTCACGAGGACGACATTTTTTCGCGTTTTATGGAAGCTGGTTGAAATACCAGGTTTGAACGTTCCAGAGGCTGGAGATGCCTCTTAAACCAGAAAGAAGGTTTTCGTTCCACTTTCTAGAGGGCTTCTACTTTTGTGGCTAATTCCTGAACATTCTAGAAGGTTGCGTTGTTGCTCCCTTATTACTGATTGGCTAAGATGTACTTTAAACGCGCCAACAATTCAGGGTCAATCAGGCCCTGTGGCCAACCGTGACAAACACCACCAACTGACTCAGACTGTGGCGGTGTCCACTAGCTGGCCGTCTGGTCCGTGCGTAACCACCTTAACCGCATTCGCTTACTCATACACGTCTGGAATGAAGGCCTCGGCAGTGAATGCCTCGCCTACAGGATGCTTTATTCCTGGAAGGAAACCATCTTTACCCCAGCAGCCCACCTCCCTCTCTGTCTCACTCATATCCCAACTGTCCATTCTATGGCGCATGGTATCATGGGGTTGGCTACTGTCAAGGCCAGACGTTAATCATCACAGTGTGAGATGCCACATATCTCTATCCTATCATCGCAAGGTGGAGTCTGCGGTCATCCCACACGTCAATTTTGAAACAGTAGGAGGTTTGGCGTGTTCCGTTGTCAGGTGGGGGTAAGAAATAGGCCTTTGTTGCGGCTGAATCATCAGCTTGTGGCCTTTTCCTTGCGTATTATTCGAGCCCTGCTCTGTCAAGCAGGCAGACTTTATTTGTAGTTTTTTGCCTTTAGCACGAAGTCCTCCACGAACGCATACAGAGTGAAAGCGAGGGAAAAGTTAACAGGTGGGATGGGTAGTGAGTGACGGATGGCTAAAATGAAATACAAATTTCGGACGATGTGTGTAATCTGTGGATCTGGTGTCTACCTCAGCTACGAGGATCTCCAGACATTGACATTGATGAGACCGTGAAACGGAACGAAGTCCCCTCTGCTGCAGGATTCCTACGGCTCTATAATACTATTTGACTGTCAGCCCTTCTCTAGGTTGATAATGGAGCCATATTGCATTAGGATTTCCAGGGGTCTGGTGGGTCTCTTTTAGCCAATCATCATACGCTCACCTTCATCTTTTCGCCTGATTGGCTAGTTTTGACCTAAATGTGTCGATAGGCGAAACTAAACGGATACTGCCAGTACATCAAACCATTTCTACTTTATTTCGCTTCCATGAGCCATTAAAACGTAACCAAGCTTTGTGACTACTTCGTCTATTTCATACTTCCCTGTTTATTTTGTTTTTTTGGCTATTTTGCTCTTCGCTTTGAGCATTTGAACCTGAGAGCAGGAATGGCATTCCGCAGTCTTTAAGCGCGTCAGCCAGCTACCCTCTCATCCAGTAGTCAGAAAGGAAAATAACGCCTTTGGAGGTGAGGGAAACAACTATTTTTAGAGAGATCGTCTTTGGATTCAGATAGCAAAGAATATGTCGAGTTGCTGGCATATTATTCCCACGGTTTCATCACCTACCAATAATTAGAAGCTCATACTTTGCTGGAGTATTCCTTAACCTTCGTGGTAGTCAATAGCGGAAACGCGAACACGGCATCTGTACGGGCCCGGAAGCTGAGGTCTGCTACAATGCCATTAACAAGTAGTAGACAAATGTCCCTGAGATTTCCACGATCACAAAATCAGTACATGCCATAGGGAATATCTTCAGTCTTGAATCCCAAACCACCCATAAAGATTAATATGTAGACTAGGGGTGTGTCACCTGGTTTTGGGGGTCTCCATCCACCGCCTAATCCTGATAGAGCTAAGCAGGAGGGAGATGCACAACATACTCCGGCGTATGTCAAAAGGAATATTGCTTCGACATCATTGAAGAGTTGTGCATATCCAAGTTCCCATCTCTTGGGCAGACAATTGAAACGTCTGGTTTATCCGGCCCGACCACCGTCTGGTCAACCTCAGTTGGTGGAGAGACTGGTCGGCTAACTACATCTCCCATTTACTGGCGAGTAGTTGATTTTTTTTCCTGTGGGTGAGGTTGTTGGTCCACATCCTTGTGTAATTTCCAGTACATCGTTAAGATATGCTGACGTGACATGAGAGCAACAGGGTCATGGTTAATCACGTGATACTTCGTTGGACCAATCAGCAAACGACGTTAGGACCGTATACGCGCTCTTACATGTCATCGGTCGGCACGGAGATTGGACAGCAGGTTGCGGGTTGTGCGAATTCCTGAATCAAGGTCAACCTTTATCATCAAGGTGAATTTAAAGTAGTGCAGAGGCTTCAAAGGCCAACAGAGACGATCAACCGAATAGATTGACCTAATTTAAAATAACATGCAAAGGTGTCCACGAAATTTGTAATTTTCGAAATGCCTAACAATTAAGGTGGTCGACGCGTCTATTGACAATTACTTCAATGACAGTCTCACGCGCCATGGAAAGTCTTTGAAAGACTCAGGGTAATTCATTCAAGAGAGGAGGAAGAGAGTAGGCGTGTTGTTTTGTTTTCTTATCCGATTTAAATGACCAACGGTTTATACCAGCATTCTGACAAAAGTTGCCTTATTTGAGGGAGTTACTACAACTAATCTGCTGCAGATTTTGGTGTAGTAGTTGATCGACGGGCACAAAGTAAATTAGTGTCGTGTTGAAAAGATGATGCTTTTATTTGGTGTTTATTTTAAAAGAGACTCAAACGAACAACAAGACTGTTAATAATTGAAATCTACTAATGCTCTCATGAGTTAACAAGAGCAAAATTACATTCTGCTTGCAACAAGAAATGTATGGACACCTTCTTGGTTGATTAAAGGTAACGTTATCATCTATCATATTGTCGGCGTAACAACTTAATGATAATTTAAATTTACATTAATTCCCAATTCCTCTTAAAACTATGCAATTTATGCTTCACTTTTGACGACTTGACATTTTGAGCCACGCCAATGCAATGAAAGTGGCATGCTGTTGAACATCAGCCAGCGTCTATGGATGCCTCCTAAAGCAGGTTCCACCGCGACAAGTTTTGCCTTGAAGGGAAGAAGGTGTTCAGAATTCACCAGCCGAGCTGTGGCGCAAATTTGCACTAAAGTACGACATTCTTCCTAAGACGTGAGACTGCGCCACTTGAAAGCATGCGCTAGACGCCTTGCAGACAGACAGGAAGGGAGGTCTAGGGGAGTGCCGACTACGACAACAGAGAAATGAGGGGGAGAGTGTGGCAACCACCTAAAATGGAGGCTCTTCATCCACGTAGGTCCAGTCTCCTGTCCAGAAAGCATGCGTTTCCGGCTCTGCACCCAGCAGTCTATCAATTTTTGTGCCTCAGTGATAAAGGAAGTTGAACATTACTTGTCTGTATTTCTTCCCTACAAGGGAACAAGCTAATTGATATCAATTCAATTATAGGCTTGTAACACATAGTCTCAACCAAATTCATTTTGTTTAAGCATTTCCTAGCAAAAAATACCATTTAATTTTAAAGCATGTTTGGCATTCCAGGCTAAACTGGCCCAGAAAGATCGCTGACAGGATTATGTGATTATGATCTTCAATAATTTTAAAGGAGAAAAACATTTTATATGTCAAGCACCAAATTATAAAATCATTTCAAAACTTACCGAAAATTTTTGGATGACTAATGTCCAGCTTCTTCAGATTCGCTCGTCTGTCGTTTAAATTTTTAGTCGATGATATTTATAGGCGGCATGGTGTTACCGCGTCTATGAAATTCCATTCCTTGGGGCTACTGCTATTTTGTGAATGTCGGGTTTTTTTTGGCCTTCTGTTCAATAGTGTGGTCTTTCCATGTCCCGTATTCCTATGTAAAAATGAAATAATTAACACGGCAATAATTTAAATAGCTAACCGTATCATTACAATGGCAGAAAAAGTAAGCATACGCCTCGTTTATCTCAATTTAAGTCATTACCGATCCAAGCGTCCCCTATTTGAGTATTGCACTTCACGGGACGTCATTTATTTCCTTAGCTTCGAAGCCACTCCCTCATCACCGATTTACTCGTTCCAATGCTTACTTAAGTAGGAAGGTTTTCTGTCGTTTGATATTTATTTTTTAGCGGTGGCCAATCTTTTATCTTCTGCGTGTGCACAACTTGTCCGTTTTCATTTAGTCGTCCATATTCAATCTTTTGTGGAAGCGTGTCGATATTGAGAGGAGATGTCACAATCATGTTCGACCATTCGTAGTTTCGAATGTCACTGATAAACATAGCCTTAAATTAGCAATCCACACTACTGCGTTCGTCGTTTCTTTTCGACAGTTTGACAACTGTTTGGATTTTCATGTTCGAGGGTCCGTTCTTATCACTTTTGTTCCCTTGGCAGTAGGCATTGTTCCACATTTTCTTTCCATAATGGTAAGCGTAAACCTTCCCTCATATCAAAAAAAGTATTTTTCTGAGCCTAGTAACACGTAAACGACTTAACTTCACGTCTGGAATAGTTATTATTCCTGTTTTGCTTATTAAATTAACATTTTTGTGCACTCTCCAATGCAAATAACAGACATGCAGGTTGCCATTAGCAACATTTATGTCAGTGCTTTCCAAAGTGCAATATTTTATTATCGCTGTTGCATCCTCTGCCTGGCCACCGAATAAAGTTGAAACGCGTGTTTTATGCCACTGATAAATTCCATTCCGCTAGCCTTCTGTATTCTTGTCCTGCGCTAAAACTGCCCGATGCCTGTAACAATCATTGCTATCGGCAGAATGGATGTGTGACCCGGTTAGGTACTGTAGACGTCAAGGTGGCTCATTACGCAGCATTCATAAGTCATCGGAGACACTTGTTTATTCCACGCCCCAAATAGTGTGGATTGACGCATAAATGACTCGTTTGGCGAGATTTGTGGTAATATTTTTTTAGCGTTCAGTGTGTGATATCAAAATCTCGATTTTTCCCACCATTGCAGTACATTTAGTGGACGATTTACTGCAAAAAATTCCCTTTATTCTTCCATTTTTATGACAAATAACTGAAGGTGATGATGTGGATAACTCCATTTTTCGGAGTCGTTTGTGACATCAACTTGTAATGGGTGTATCCAGCTCGCCGATGTGCTTTGCCGATTGTCGTCATTATGGTATGCAGCTTCACACAGGAGATCACAACAAAGAGAACTGCTAAGTTCGCAACAAACAAGAAACTTCAAACTGATCAAATTCACTTTCATGAACTTTTAGAGTGGTGCGAAGGATCGTTTCAGACCAATATTATGCTACTTATGACGCTGGGAACACTCATAGCTATTCCACGGACTCAGGATTTTGATCATGGACAATGGAACTTACATTTTGTACTTGGCACTGGATGATTGGTGAATTGCATTGTTGATTCCTTCAGTGGCTCAAGCCTTGCTAGCCGTGATGATCTTTAAAAATCTGTACACGAAACCTCGGAGCTAACGAGACTGGTATGTTGACCACAAAAGTCACATAAAAACGGCGCATTTATTTCCTTGGCCAAGCTGGCGTCTTACACGAGTTGGCACGAGCAGTTAAACGGCGACGGAAAACGGCAAACTTAATGTCACTTTTGGGCATTAAACCATTTGTGACGTGGCGGTCAATCTCCCTCTGACCGAGGTTAGTCGTATTAACTAGGAGTTCCACGAAAGGCGATGGCTAACTCTCCTTTACTTTCTTTAGCTACCAATTACCTTCATGAAGTACCGTGTTTTGGTGTTGCATGATTGCCCGCCTCTACGGTGCATTGTTCACGGAATCTAATCCACATAGTGTGTAGCTACGACTAGACAGAGACCTTCGTCACTGTATCAGCCACTTGATAAATGACAGAGAGGAATACGGTGGTGCGCAAATCGTGTGAGGCGGGGCTCTTGACCTCATGGATACCTTGGAATTCTAACTTCAAATCAGCGAAGACCAAGAGGCGACTCGGCCCCCATGATTACCCCTATTGGCCATAAAATGAGCCCAATGTTCGTGACCCTCTTCTTCCCAGTCTCCCCTGGTTGCCATCCACCCACCCACTTACCCTACCAAGCCTGCGTTCAACTCCACCTACCCAATTGACGTGTAGACCATCTGAACTAATCGTGGAAATTGGAGGAAAGCAGGAATGCGCTAAAGAGTGGAAGAGAAAAAAACAAACGCAGGATTTTTTTCTGCTCATCACCGTCGAACAATATCAAGAAAATCACGATGACAAGACGGCCAATGAGATGGCAGGGTGGAGAGGGGAGGAGAGATGAATGGGTAACATTGAGAAATTCAAGATTAAGAAATGCCAGAAGAATTAATAAAAACAAACGACAACTTCGACAACGTCAATGATGCAGAGGTATGCGGGATGACATATTCATGCATGACTATCAATACATTCAGCCTCCTTGGCCTTGTTATTCTAGTCGTGAATGCGACAGATTATTGAGGAAAGGAGAGAGCGAGAGAGAAAAAATGAGATAAACGAGTAAACAAGTAGGTAGACAAGAAGAGTGAAGAAGATGAAGCGAGATTAGAAAAAGAAAGGCTAAAGAATATTCTTTATTATCACAATGAGGGTGATTCAAGGCATTCCGTAGCCATCGGTAGCAGGTTCTGTGGGTGCTCGTTGAAAGGCAGCGCCACCAGATGTACTGCTTCGAAAGACGCCATGGGTGGTAATAACCATTCTATCACCCTCGCGTTTAACGGAGAATCGAATCAGAGTCTCAATGAGATAGCACAACGACAAGAATGCGCAGAACACCTAGTAGGAGGGGAAAAAAGGTAACTGAGAGAGAGAAATCAATCCCCCCCCCCCCACCCCTTAAGTCCCTTTTATTGGCCTGTTCGGATCAAGGTGATAGAGCCACACTCCTAGGCATTTTTTGAAAGATTAGCGTCTCTTGCACTTCTAAACGGGTTGAAGCATTTTATTCCCCTTGACTAGCTACTTTGAAAGCACGGTGCTTTTAGAGGCGAGCCTTACCAATTTGTAAGCGATTTCAACTAGAAGTCGCTGCTAGAATTCGCCCTTCTAAATTAAGCGCCTTTGACAGGTTAAAACGAAACAGTCTGTGGTATGCTAAAGCATTGAAAATGATAGCGTCCGTTGAAACCGTGCCAACTGCAGTGATGACACTTTGACTTGTATGAGGTCAGGAAAAAGCATTCCCCCATTTTTTCAAAGAGGAGGGATGTTTTTTTTTCAAAGCAAATGAGCAGTATTTACTGCCTTGCTGAATTCTAGACGTGCCATTAACTAAAATCCATTCCCGACTCCCCTCCATCCAACCCGACCTTGGCTGCCGTTTTTGGAGGCATCACGTAGAGGCTTTCCGATGACGGATCGCAAATTTTGATTGAATGCGAGTAGACTGGTCTTGTGATTTTGCCACCTGCCAAGTGGATACCGAGACGATGTAGAAAAACACTGTCAAACTAGTCGCCGCTGTGACAAAAAGTTCACTTAAGCACCCCCTTCCGTGACTCACCATCGCGTACCGCATTGTGACATTACACAGACAACATGCTCTGACAGCACGTCGACACAAGGAAGGCTGGTTTGAAAAACAGACGTTTTATATCTCACGTCTTTCAACGACGTTGAATACATCCTCTGTCGCCAAAAGTGGGTGACTGACCATCGACGGAGGGCAGTTAGAACTGTCCAGAAGTCATTAACACGTTTCCCATCAGCGTCACATATATGTGACAGGTGTGCAGATGGGAGGATAATTGTATGCTTTTCCTTTTTTGGGTTTTAGAGCACCGAGACAGTCCATCTACAGTCGTTGCAACATATTCTTCTGATTCATACCTGGCCAGCGGGCGAATTCAGTTCATTCATCCGCCGACCGAATATCAGTGAAGCCCATCTCTGCTTCCGAGGTCGTTTAAACCGCACTAGTCCAAGCCAAAACCGGCGATTACCCCCTCGAAGAGGTGGTTACCAAAGCATATCCTGAAAAGTTGCCGGCAGGTTAAGCTAAACAAGCACTCCATCATTGATGCGACACTGCTTCGTACGGTTTGCGGTCAGTCGGCTATGCCAGGGTTAGAGGTGGTTCAAAAAGTTCAACCGAGTTACCGCCCTAGCTCCCACGCACGTACACAAGCAAATTTTTGCGGGCAAACAGATGCATAAAACCATTTTCAAGAAGTGGGTGGGAAAACCCTCATTTGGACAGGTAAACGAGTCGGACATAATGGAGGCAAAAATGGCCCGAAACGGAGCAAATTAATGGACAGAAATTATGGAACGTTTGATCAATGGGGAGGGAAATAACCTAGCACCTTAAGATTATTCGCATCAATTTTAGCTGATCCTTGCCTTCCCCGGCCCTGTGTCCTCTTTCACATGCCTGATGGCAAAGCAGGGGGTGGCAAACAAGAAAGGAAGGGAAGTCAGTAACACTCTCCCCACCCACATCGCCGCAAATTGCGAATCGCCTCCCCAAGAGGAACTCTGCGACGGTGGGATTTTACATTTTCCTATAAAATGCGCGTTTATTTCGCCTGGCTCTTTCTGGAGAAGCTATTCTTGCACACTTCCAAGCTGTGTCAAGAGGAAAGATCTTAGTCGGCATTGTTCGACCTTTTTGAAGGCGAAAACTTAGCATCTGCAAGTCGCCGGTTGAGTAGTGAGCACATGCGCCTTTGCTCAAGGGACTTTGGAATGTAAAAGTCCTTTCTCATCACATGCCAGCCAGTCAGTCAGTCAGTCGACAGACCACTTCAAATGCCTGCAGCGTCTTTCTTAGTTTGCTTGGTAGTTCTTAGAGCCTCCTATCGTCTGTTAATGCTGTCTAGTGGTTCCCATGATCTTCGCAAGTGATGGAGGGGTGAATGAACGCTGTCACTGACACGTTAATCTCGAGTAGTCACTCAAATCCCTACTTCGGCAGGGTCTACAGTCTTGATACAGTAAAAAAGACTCAAATCACATCCATCAGGTTTAATTGGCATTCTTCAAGGAAGGAGGATTCAAAAGAACGGGAAAATAAAAATAGTCCAGAGAGGAGTCAGGAGTTTCGCCTGGATTAGCACTTCTCCAGGTCTTGCCATGACATACACACGACTATTGTGGGAGGGTTTCACCTGAACATGACCACATCCTGCGGCGGATGACTTTCAGGCCACCTAATTCTCCCCCCCCCCCCCTTAAGTCATATACCTCAACTCACGAGTCTGCCCGAAGAAAAAGAGGCGTTCGATTCGCAGGCGAGAGTCACGGCTGCCAAATCTCGTGACACCCTGGCGAAAACGAGCCACTCAAGTTGTTGGCAAGACAGCTATTCACGAGGAAGAAAAAAGAGCCACAAAAAAGCCACCTACCGCTGCTGCAATCGCCGCAGAGGAGTAGGGAGAAAATGCCGCGGCGACAATCATCGAGATGAGGATGAGGAAGGCGAGAAGGCATTGGCAAACGAAGTCCTACAGAAAAACGGCCAAGTAAAAAAACAGCCCGGTAAACAGCCAGCGATCAATGGGTACTTGGAGGACCGCGGGCTCTTTTTTTGCTGCCGTAGTGGTGGCCAGTGTGCCTCCCTACGCATGCACCAACAGGCTACGGGGAGGTGGATACGCCAGACACACCCGACCAAGCAGACAGCGGTCAAAAAATGAAAACGCAAAACCCCAAATCAACACAGATGTCTGCTCGCGTCTACAGGCAACGCTAGACCGTTAGATGGTGGGGACTCGGCGAAAAATTCCAGAGGCCGATGCCGACAACCTGTTTTGACACTGCACAAGAGGCGAACCTTTCCTAATGGGGATGGCGGACACTAGCCCTCTAAACCGTCACCAGCTTAGCGCAGCCTAGTCCAGAACGCTTCAGTCGTAATAACAAGTCTTTTCAGATCAAAGCTGTCCTCCAGGTACCGGATGGATAACTATCTGTTCAGGAGACCACATCATAGACCCAAAAGTCCGAGTTTGATTTGAGTGTCCCTCAGTTAGGTGGGTCTTAATGGCCCAACCGTCTCATGGCACGTTGCCAAGACGACAGTCATTAGCTCGCCTATGCGCTACCAGCAACGCGAAGCCCCAGGTAAGAAGCCGAGAAGACGGGGTAGCTGGTTATAATCTGGAGCTACTCTCTTATATCTGTGTTTAGACTTGTTTGGCGACGCAGATACCAACGTGTTCGGTCCTGTCATTTTGAGATGTGAAAGCACAGTCTCGTTGCCAAGTCCGCAAGTGACTACTGCAGAGTGGAGTGGAGTCACTGGAGGATGTGTTAGCTACCTAACGAACACCCTTTAGTGGATCCGGAAATTTACGATCCGGCAGGCGATTTAAACGCCATCCATTAAACTTGGATGATTGCGTCATCTATGGGGTGCCCCTGTCAATGAAGTGGTTAGTGGAGGGGTGACTTCTATGGGTTACGTGGAGAAAATAGCGAGGCTCTGGGAAGGACAAATGCTGCCAGATTCCGTTTCTGTGATTCAGCTTCGGGGAAATCCGTAAACCCCCTCTACGAATCAAATGATGGTGCCACGTAAGGTAGACGTCTGCCCACCACAAACAGCCAATCAAAAAGAGGGACAGCCCGTAGGTCAGGCTGTCGCGGTGCAGGGCTTCAAATGATGCCAAAGTAAATTACTAAGCCTCCTTTTTCTTTCCTCCGCAGTTTTTTTAGTTCATAAACAACTTTTTGGGGCATAGTTCAAGTCGACTGACGGTTTAGGTAACCCTTAGAAAGAACAAATCATGGGAGGAAAACGTGTTGGTTCATGTTTTCCCACGTTGGCAAATTAGGCTTTCAGTCACAGACAAAAGTGCATTTAAACAGCAAAAGTACATAGGTGAGGCGAGGGATTGGACAACCCCGTGGCAACAGCTAACCCCTACTGGATGTCGATGCAAGAGGCAAGGGCAATAAGAAAGTCTGAACTTTTCACGAGAAAAGGGGGAATTTCCCTGTGCACGGAGGTGGATGGTTAAGGTGATCGCGGGGCGATGACTTCATGTTAGGGACATGCGCACTGCTTCCACTTTTTGAAATCTCCTTAACCAGTGGTGACCTGGCTGTAAAAGGCGAACAAGATAGGCCTGAGAAAACTACGACTCAGGCAACTGAGGAACTAGGAAAACCCACCAATTAGTGCGGAGCCAGAGGCGCAGAATCCACCAATCAGTGAGGATTTAGAGACCAAAAGTTACCTTTGAGACGGTCTAAATTAGATCGGTGATCATGCAGTGTGGGAAAAGGCAGTAGAAATAACGCTTTCTGGCTTCTTTGCTTCTGCTATAAGCTAACCACCCGACTAAACTTCCCCTTTTCGAGTATTTCAGAGAAGGCTCTACCAGGTTGCCGTGCCATTCTGGGAAAAAGGGGCAGATTTATTTTTGGAAAGCATTGTCCAAAATTGGAGCACTCTAGCAAAATGGTGGAAGTACGCAGCACTTATCACCTCACTTACGCGTTTGGAGCGACCGAGGAGGAAGGGAGGTACTATCGTAGACTGGTCAATGTGGTTAAGAAGTCAGACCCCTTTTTTCTTTGGAACAAAAAGACCTCCTGTAAGGCGATGCAGGAAGCAAAGGTTGCATAAATTCCGGTAAATGAGCAGAAGTGGAAAATTAACGCCCTCCCCTCCTTGTTTTTTTAGAGTAGAGTAGAGGACCGAACACGAGAGGGGAGGGCACGGTGGGAAAATGTGGGCATTCTATGCCCCTTACATAACGTAATTACCAAGGTACTGTGGAGTAATTTGGTGCTTTTTCACCTATGTGCGAATGTATGTGCATGGGTGTGTGTGTCTAAAGATGCGGGTGTGCCTCACAGTCTCGGCAGACTACGCTTCCAACCTGCGCAGCACGGCCCTCGTCGAGTCATGCCAGTGGGTGTTCGCCAGCAGGTAGTGTATGCCCACATACTACCCCGGGGTGGTTGCGACTTCAGAGAGAAACTCGACGGGATGCTACATTACTTCCAACTTTGTTGAATCCAAAAAACACATTGAAACACAAAGACGCCGTTACCATATTTCAGAGCTTGAAGTGTCCCAAATGTTGGGTTGTCTCCGTAAAAATGGCGTAACAGGCCTCAGGTCTTAACTCTGCTCTAGCGAGCCAAAAGAACTGGAAAGGGAACGGGCAAATGTTTAAAACGACTTAAAGGCGGCTTAAGAGAACGACTAATGTGCAGTTCCTCCTTTTGAAGGAGGGAATCGAGGAGAAATCGACGATTAGCACTCAGCTGTCGCTTACTGAGTGAAAAAAGGTTTTTCTTCTGAAGTGATGGGTGATGCAATGGAGACGCCTTACAGCAAATCATATGCCAAGTTTGTACAGGATTAGAGCTGCTTCAACGCATCATGTGGTGCCTGTCCGAACACTGAATCACGCGCGGTGGTCGGAATAGATCGAGATTAAAACAAGGAAGAGGAGACAGAAGGAGAAGTGGTTGTGGCATGTTCCTGGCCTTTGCTAGGGCGACTCCCTTCTGAGACGCTACTGGTAGAGAGCAAAACTTAACTGTTTGTCGTCACCATGAAACAGTGTTACCGAATAACAAACCCACCCCCTAAATGAGGGAGAAGTGATGACTAAATAAGACAACATCGGCTGAAAGTGATGACAGCCTCGTGGTGATAATCAGCAATGAGGTTCACGGATATGACAATCGCTCTAAACAAGTGCTGTTAATGGTGGAAGGTTTGGAGAAGCTGGAAAACCCCTGTCTTGATGGAAATGATCCAAAAAGGCAATAGTTGGGAGTCCTACCATTAAAATAAGGCATACATACTCTTCACCAGTGGCAAGGAAGCGCAGCCGCGTAACCACATATAGAGCGCCTGAAGTGTCACAGTGTCCTTAAGTGATCAGTGTCATGGGATAGCAGCCACTTGCAGGTCAAATTCCACCCACATTCAAGGAAGAAAAAGCAGGCGAATAGACACAACAACGAGTGCACTCGGTGCAAACACGATCGGCCATGGAGGATAGGAGAGGTAAGTTCGAACTTTGGACATGAGTGAAACAAAAACACCATGGTCTGGCACTTCATTCTCCTCCTTTTTTTTAAAAAAAAGACCAAAAATGAAGTGCCAATTCTTCCTACCAGATTGGAAGTTTAACAACAAACCGGCCACCAGTCAACGCCATCAAATCGCCGACTGTGAGATTTTTTAGGTACCTTTTAGTCTCCGTGACGATGGTAACGAAGGCAAAAACATCTACGGTTAAAAAGAAAGAAAAAAAGAGAATGAAATTCAATATCTCACTTCCAAGGGAAGTCGTTTTTCGCGTTTTCTTCCCAGAAACTAGAGATAACATCTCATTTCAATGTCTCTAGATGAGAAGGGCAGAAGCAACTTTCTAAATCTGTTTTTTACCAAAAAGCGCCTTCTTTGCTTATCTAAGATGTTTCGTAGAGGAAGGGCTCAAAAAGTTGTCTTTATTAGCTCAAACGATCAGTTCAAAGTGGTGGTGCTGCAGCCACCACAGGAAAGACTTGAAAACTGCATTAAGATGGAGTCTATAAACATAGGTAAAATCCGAGAGGGCTTCATTGTACCACCTCTCCTGCTCACATACAAAGCTGTGGGGAAAAAGACGCTCGAGTTACGGTGATTAACAGCAGCACAGATAGAACCCATTCGGAGCTGAGGAAAGGTGGCTAGTAAAAGGTAAACTCTACAGTTCATCTGTGCGAGGAGACGCAGGGTAGCGTAGAACATAAACTTTTTTGTCTGGTATCCTAGATACGGTCGTTATCACATTAATACATCACAACAGGGTGCATGCATGTTATAGCGCACCGCAACTTAAAACGTTTGCATCAAACGCATCCACGGTTGGTATGATCATGTCGCCCCACAAACAGCCACCTTTCGATAGCAAAAATCCGTAAAAAAATGGAAAATGCGTATCAGCGTGTGCATATGCTTCTGGGAAATAATATGCATCACGTTCGTCACTGGCGTCACATGTAGGTGACGCGCCGGTTTTCCGCCTTCTAAACCAAACGTCACAGATAACACACTTTGATTTCGCATATAAGTGGCAAAATTCGACCTCTACCAATAAGTAATATCACTTAAAGTAGAGCGACGGCCACATTTTTGGCGCCCTAAAATGCACCAGTGGCACTCACTACACAAAGAATCTCGGAACCTAAAACTTCCTCTGCAGCGGAGGGAAAGTAGTAGCTGAAAATCACGCTGCAGTTTGGCTACCTAATAATTCTTACCTTTTCAACCGTTCAAAGACCAATCCTCTCCTTACTACCTACGTTTGAAAGGAGGGAAGGGAGATAAAGTTCAAGCATCGATTTAGGCGCGGGAAAGACCGACAGAAGAATAATGGGGGGTGTTGATAAACAACAAGCACACCTCCACCTTCCTTCACCTTGCTGCATGTAGGCATGTGTGCACGCACGCACGCTCATTAATATTGGTCAACTCAGTTAACCCTGAACACACACATACACACACACCAGCACATCGGGGAAGTGATAGAGGATGCTGGCGTCACCATCACCAATGGCACCACCCTCGCAAATAGTCGTGGCAGTGGCTGCGCTTACGTGGCTGTGCACATGCAAGCATTATAGCACGGATCCAATGAAAAAACCACACACACACATACACACCCATCACAGTCATTCACACATGCACCTGCAGTCGTTCATGAGTATTTAATTAGTTACATAGACAAAAAACAAGGAATATTGAATGTCGCTATTTCGTCCAAAGACACACATTAAAAGAAAAAGATGGGTCGGAGCCTCACCTCCCCTTCCCGCCCCAGCAAATGTACCAAGAGAATATTCTCATGCATTTTCCAAGTGCGAGTTCCAGCAGTCCCGCTTTTGGGTCATCGAATGTGTGAACATGTGAGACAGAACTGACACACGCACACAGCATCAGTACATCGCATAAAAAGGACTGTAGCGAGGGACAAAGCAGAATTCTACCCTAGACTCGAGAACATTGGCAGCACCAGATACAAAATGCGTAACTATTGAATTGAGTGGATATATGCACACCTGAGTAGGTTATGCAAGTGTGCTGCTTTGCGCGGACAAAACCGCGAAGTCGACAAAAGTAAAAACAAGACTTTGAACACCTCGCAAATAAAATGGAATTGAGACGTCAATGAAGGAAGCGGGAACGTACAATGATAGCCCATGGTCCGGGAAGGAAGGGAATGAGGTTGAAGAGATAGCCGAAGAAGAAGAAGAGGGAGATGATGAGAGAGAGCGACAACGTGAAATTAATCCATCCACCGGAGCCACTGTCACGAAAAGTAAAGTGCGACCCAACACAAATGAAGGCGCAAATGGTCAGAATTATCTACAAATGAAAAAAAATGAGGGCAATTTGACTACAAATGAGGAAGGAATAAGCAGAATAGGAAAGGAGCGTAAGAAGTTATTATGAAACACAAAGCGTGTAAACAGACATTACAAAAAGTGCGTACCAAAAAACGACAGTTTATAATTCAAAAGCAGTAAAATGGCAACCGACAAAGGAAAAAATGATGTAATGAATTCATAACAGTGAAACTGTGAAAAATGAAATGAAGTGCAAACATTTGGAAGACAAAATGCAGGGAAAACCCACTTCAATAATCTTAAAAATGCCATGTTTATCTCGAAGAAAAGCAGGGTTGTATTTAAAGCGATCCTTCGCTGGATCATCCCACTCAGAAGTTGTTTGGTACACCTGCCGTTCCATTTCGAATTCTCCCGGCCCGACCTTGAATTCTTCAGCTTACGGAGCAGTGTTCAGGCTGGCATAACAAAACAAATATCGTCCTCATTGAAGTTAACTTCTGCACGACAAAAATTTTAAGAAGGCGATTCTCTTCAAAAGTATTTAAAAAGACAGTTAACGTTATGAGGCAAAATAATGCTTGCAATGAAAATCTGTGAACATATAAGGGAAATCAGGCTTTTTTATCTTACGCAGCATCATCTTAGAACAAATGAAGGTATTGTAATACGACAGTGGTATATCCCTCGGTATTGGTGAGGCCCCACTTTTGTACTTTGAGTTAGCTCCCTTGTACCTCGCTGGGTGGGCTGGCCCTTCGGGCCACGCGAATAGCCCAGACACCTTCCCTGCGCTGAATATATTCTGCCCGAGTATTTTGTCTTCTTTCGTCTTCAGGGGGTCTCGGGATGCTACGGCATTGCTTATTGTTTTGCCTATTAAATTTGTATCCAAATGCTTATTATTAAGTGGCCCTAAACTCTTCACAAATATTTTCTTCATGAATCAAACATTTCACATATCGCGTCTGCAGTGACACTTAATCAATTGCGTGTTTAAGCAAATGTTAGTGTAACCAGACAATTGCATAAGACAGGCTACCTCCAGGGGAGTTGTCAAATTTTCTCAAAATGGATTTTTAAATGCATGTAATACCTTGCAAATTTTTTTCGACAGTTTGATCTTTTCTGTAACTTAGGCAAAATAATATAATAATTTTAAAATATTACTAGTCGGATTATTCTGATGTTGAAATACCTCCCGTTTGTTGTTGTTTAAATTTGTTGCGTGCTTTGGGTACTCTTTAAGATTGGCTGCATTTCTCTGCTTCTCTCCGAGGGATGATTGGTGTCAGTAACATTACTAATAGGATGGATCCAGTCAGTTTGAAGTCCCGGGTTTTTGTCGGAAACCTAAATACACTTCATATCCAAAAGCCCGAACTGGAAGCCATATTTTTGAAATATGGTGATATAATTGGCATTTCGGTACATAAGGGCTATGCCTTTGTCCAATATGCTAACGAAATGCACGCACGGTCAGCAGTGCGTGGAGAGGATGGAAAAACTTACTTTGGCATGGAGCTAGGTAATAAAGTGTTGTCCTCTGTTGCTCTCGCGATCACTCCTTCTACATAGGTCACCTTATTTTTGCTCTTCAGCTCCATGTTCGTTCTTTCTTTTCATTTCTCTTGATTTTGAAAAAGTTTATACCCTTTTGTTGTTTATGGGTCTGCTATCTTTTTGGACTTTGAACCCGTCTTTTTTCTTTATATTTTGGATGGATTTATCGTAGACGTAACTATAGCGTCTGAACCGAAAAACCGTAAACGTGGACGCCCTAATGCCGGAAACACTTTTTGGTAAGCTTCTTTTACAAAGCCTTGTTGTTGGCTGTCATTTTTTAATATACCCTCCTTTGATTTTGTATAGCAATCAACCCAATCTGATCGATCTAGCGCTGCAAAATCAAGCACTAGCTGCCATCGGCGGGCAGTTTTCTCAGCTGGGCTTTATGAGTCACCACCAGCAGTGTCGCTATAACAACACTAGCAATAACAGTCCTTCAACAGTTGGGTTCAACATGCCTGGTATTTTCGGCAACCCATTATTGAATACCGCTCCAAAAATGCCAAAGCTATCGTTTGCAGCCTCTTCACGTCCACCACACCATCGTCGTATTTCTCATCCACAATCATCAGCTTCTACAGCAAAACGCACTCGGCTGGAGAATCCTCAGGTTGGGTCCTCTTCTACCGGTAACAATAGATCAACTAATCTCGTCCCTCTGATTGCGTCGAAACGGGGAAGTGTCTCCCCCAAGTCCACCGCTTCTGGCGACTCGTCGTCGTCTATTTCTAAAAAGAGAACTTCCAAAACCAACGACTCAGTCATTTTGGACAAGCTCTCTGGCATGACCGTTGACAATGGCTTTGACTTGCAATCAAGTGAGTTTTATTTTTTCAAGACTATTCAATTTATGTTGGTTGTTAATGGTGAAAAGTAGTACGTCACTTAGTAGGATTCAAAATATACGCGTGGCAAATGGTTTTATCGTGAAACATGGCCATCACTGTGATATTTAGCTTCGAGCATCTTTAGATTAGGTGTTAGCTGTCCAAATATTTTCCGACTCATTCATTTTGATTTCGGCTTGATGGTACTTTCCATTCGTTATCACAGGAAGCGCTTTAACTGATTTTTCAACAAATGCACCAGCAGAACGTTTGTAGTTGTGTAGTTTGGCACGAGTTGCCTTTTGAAGGTGCGGATTGCTTGAGTAATTATGCAGGCGGTATGGCGTCTAGGCGGTGTTTGTTTCTTTTAACCTAAATACTTGACCACTGAGTCATTTCGTCAAACGTTTGATGGAGGCGGAGAGACGCCAAATTTTTCTATCCTACCAGCTCCATTAATGAGTTCATCTATACCGTTCCCATCATCCTTGTGACTTTTTCATCAACAGCGCAGAATGAACGGTTGAAGTAACTATGTAGTTAGCTCTTGAGATGTCTTGAAAGGCAGACGCCTCTCCCTTTCCACTTTTAGTTACATCGAGTGAGGGAGAGGATACAACACGAGTTCTTGCTGCTGCGACGGCGGGAGCATCACCGCCGACGACGACGACGACGACAACGTCGACGACGGTGTCCGTTACACCAGCTGTTGCTGCTGCCTCATCCTCCTCTTCCTGCACCGGTGAGGACATCCTCATCTGCGGTCAGTGTCGCCGTCTCTTTGATTGCGTCGACGTGCTTGTTGCACACAAGTCCACCGACTGCTGCTCGCTTGATGCCATTGCTGTCGCCGCTGCTGCCTCTACGCCGCAATGTCGCTGCAAGATGGGTGAGTGGTAACAGTTACCGTGTTGCACGAGCCTCAGATTTTGATTTTGTATGCGCTCTTGGATCCATTGATGCATTTTTTAAAAACTTCATCTCTTCATGGTTAAATCTTCACTCTTGGCGATTTAATTAATTTGTTTTTAGTCGACAAGGCATTTGTAAACATTGCCGTATTTTGGCAAATGGCAGATTCGCTTGTCTTACCTGTTTTTTGTCGTTGGAAGGATGTATGAATAATGGCCCATACCTTCAAAAATTAAAATCGCTATTTTTCCTTGAAATTGTGCATTTAGGGTAACTCGAATCCACCGCTGTCCACTTCTGATAGCAACTTGGCTGCTCACTCCGCGAGGTAGTGGTCCTCTTTCTTCCAAATGTTAACTTGTGTTCTTGAAAGTTGTTTAGTGGGTCAGATTCGGACGCGTGTGGCTTGCGCTAGTAAATGTCGCGACCGCTTTTCGTCACTTTGTTTATTATTGTTTTGGTTTTTTTTTCAAGTTACGACTAACTGCCACGAGTCTTTTATCCACCTCGGCTTGTTAAGGTCTGAGAAATTTCCTTCATTCGGTCGTCAATGGTGTAACACTGTGAAAGAAATTGTTCACTCCCTTCATTTCAATTCAAACCACTCATTTACCAGAGGAAAAAAGGTTCACTTAACATTGACTCAATTTCTCGCCTTGGTGTCTTACCTCTACTTCTCGTTTTAATGCCCCGCTTTAGGCGGTTTTTTGTGCGTATTTATTGATGGGTCTTCTGCAGACCTCGGAAAGCACTTGCCTATTCTCCCCATTTTCATGTGAGGGGCTGCAAATTTGAGATTTACAGGTCTACCATCGCTTCGATTCCTCTATCCATCAAAAGATAAGTCGAGGGACGCTTCCTCTCCTCCTCCTCCTCCTCTCTGCTACCAGTGTTGCCTACTTTTAGCAGCTCTTGTTAATTGTATGTTCCTAGTTAATTTTTGGTGATTTGTTAGTGTGATTGCAGTCATGTGTGTGTAGTGGTGAATTGGAGCACGTTTGGATTGTGTAAGGTCATTCTCTAGAATTCGGTAATAAAAAAGTTAGTAGGAAATTTTGGCCCAGCCCTTTTTTCTTGTCTTTAGGAGGTCTCCTATTTGAAGTCATTTTCAGGTCGGCGGGGATGGAGTTGCCCTAAGGAGATGGGAAAACAAATGGACAAAAAGAGCGAGCAGATAGTTGGCACTGGCTCTTTTCCAACCCTTCTCTTTTTCATATTCATTCATCTCGCTTCTCACTATCGTCCAGCTAACAAATTTTGCCGGGCTTTGGATGCATTTGTCTTCTTTACCTTACTTCCACTTGCGGCTCCTGTCGCTTATACGCACTTATTTTAAGGCATATGGGCATGTGTCTGTGTTCATCTACCGATTCATCTATCTACCTGTCCGACAATCCCGCCATCTACCTCTCTATCTACCTATCCAACCATTGCATCCATCTTCATTTGTGCTCTCCACTATTTTTTCACTAATCAAATCGTATAATGTCAGCTGAAGTTGAGGGATGTCAGTTGAGGCGAGTTACTTTACGGATTTCAACTTCATTACGAGGGAGGAGAGCCTTCTCGACAGTAAATTCACACAACACCTTAGAAGGTGCAGTAGGCGGTCGCGAAGTGTGCCGCCCAGAAAGCATTACTCGAAGTTGCATCACACTCAAAGAGAAGGAGAGATCCTCTTTTATTGATGGTGAAATGCATTACTTCTCACTATTGGTTAAGGTGAATTGAGACTAGGGTGTCATGTCTAATAGGCGTGATGATGAAACACTTTGTTTGCTTCTTTCTCAACTATGAAAATCTTAGTATAGGTTAGGTACATTAATTTCCACCCACATGCATTAAAAGGTGGTAAAAAGTTTCAGATACTTCCAGGTTATTCTCTAAACTGCCCTTGCAGCCTGAGATGTGCGGTTTAGGTCGTCCTCTTTTTTATCTCATAAGTTTATCAAGCAAATCTGTGTCGTGTTTCAGAACATGTTGGTCACCCTCCTTCAGCAAGACACGCGCTTGGCCCTCCTCATTCATTCGTTTTCTGCTTCGTACTTAATTGTCTAGTGCAGGGAAAAGGCGATACTTATCACTTGGAGGGAAAGAAATAACGTTGAGAGAAATGTGGAGGATGAAGCGGTACTTCCTTCCCTCCCAATATGCCAAGTTATGCCTTATGTGGTGAGATTTGTGATTCTCTCGGAAGGGTAAGGTTGGAACTTCATTCCAACTACCCTCGCGTGGTACCACATCGCGAGGGTTAGATTTGGTTTGCACCACAATTGTTTGACATTTATCTAGTGAATGATCGTGTCTGTGGTTCACCGCACATTCACATAATGTGAGCGCAGTCTCGCCGAAATGTAGTAATGTGTGAGGCCCCCGAAGTGTCCCATCGGATTAATTGTACAGACACCAAAAGTCAATTAATCAGCTGAAAACCAATTTAAAAGTGTTTGGTGCGTTTTGATGGTGCTTCCTGTCATCTGTTAATGCTGCCCCCATGGCACCCACTTTCTTACCTTTTACATCAACTCTTCCTTCCCAACCGAGGTAGGGGTAAACAGATTGTTTTGTCGTAAAATTGTTCAGCACTTTTCGTCACCAGTACTAAGTAGTGATCGTCAGTAAGGAAGGGAGGGCCAAAATCTGTTGTATTTTTTTTAGATCTTTAACTTAGCAACACTTTTAGTGCAACCATTTGGATGGGACAGGGTCGTCAATTTGACAATCACGTTAGGTGGGGTGCGCCTTACTTAATTATTATAAGTAGCGATGTTCTGTTGTTTACAGCGGGTGAACCGGATAGCATGGACTGCGCCTACTGCGGAGAGGAGTTTCACAGCGCCTGGGAGCTCGTCTCTCACTGTCAATCGTTGCATAATTTGATTATTTTCACTCTTTCCACCACCAAATTGTTTTCCCCATCTATGAAAGATGAGGAGGAAGCGGAACCGCCGAGTCCGCAGCAACCAGAAATTGGGGAGGAGGAAGAACGTAAATTGAAGGAGGAGGTGGTTGAACAGCCTTCGCAAAACGAAGAAAATGCTGTGCATTCCGATGAAGACTACGAAGACGTTGATGGAATTGGTGGTTTTGGCAGCAGTGAAGATACTAAAGTCCCTATTTGACTTCGCCGGTGAAATTAGGGTTTCTTGGTGCATCTGTGTACAGAACTTTGCGCGCTTCCATCCTTCCCTCTCTTGTTATCCTTTTCAGTTCAAACTACTTTCCCCACTCCCTCCCTTTTGTATATGCATTCGAGCCTTTTGGGTGATTTTGCCATTACATATTTATCTCATTGCGCCTCCTCGATAGGATTACTATCTGTAAGAACTTGATGTTGACATACGGAGGCGAGGAAGGAGAGAAGCTGTCGCAGCTACCCCTTGAATGTACATGTTGCCTCTAACTGTTCCGCTACGAGATGCAGGTTTCCGCCTGTCGTTTTACGTGGGTGGATGCCACCTATTAAAGGTTGGGTTACTAAACGATGTATTGGAGATTGAAATGCTACTGGAGGGACGAACAGCCTTCGCAAGACATGCTGTGCCTCATTTTTTCACAGCACATGAGTGTAAATGGGTTCCGACAAAAGTCCCACCAGATAACGGTGAGGTCATCTTTCCTTCTAAGGCCTCATAAGGGTCCTAGGGTTTCTTTCTCATTCTCGGCGGTTGTGTCCGCAGCCAACTAGAGGTTCGAAGTGCTCTGCAGCATGAGCGGCTCACAAACCGCCTACAGGCACACCTATTCACCGCATTGTCGCCCACTCCTTGATGCCGAGATAGACACCTCGTGCCCTAAACTGCGTTGACAGCCAATTTGTACGATAGGGGCAGCGACGATGTGCTCAACTACGACGAGGCATTCTTCCTCAACCAAACCATCGTCAACGACTGACTATTTGTCTGAAAAAAGAAGATCGGAAGATCACTGCAATGATCCAAGCACCCTTTATTGAAATAGCCAAAATCTGTTGGGTTTAGACACGATCTATAAATTTGGAAATCGCACACACAGTATGTACAACAATTTCGTCACGTTTTTGCGCACTTTTGTTTCTGGTATTTTATGTAAAAAAGGAGTGACAGTGGAATGGATGCAAATCACGGTGAACGTGGAAGGACTGTTACGAGATTGCTAAGCGATGTCAATTTGGCACTGCTGGGCGGAAGCTCCTCATTACTCCGTTTGATCAGCTGCATCAGCTCCTCTCCTAAAGGAGAATAAAAACAGTCATGCCAAAGGAACGCAGTCAAGACCAACGATTTGGACCCAATGCTAAAACAAAGTGGATAAAACACGAACTTTGTAGAAAATGTGCCAATTTCTTGTCACCAGCGAGAAGGGCAAGGGCGCTTGGCGTGTCTCCATTGGCATCTCCACAGCCAGTGCAGGCGCCAGCCCGGACAAGAATTTCGCAAATCCGTCGACGCTTACTTGCTGCTGCCTTATGTAGCGCTGTTTGCTTTCTAGGGTAAAAAAAATGCCATTTGCAAGATATAAGCGAGAACAACACTTTCGGACTGAACCTTCATTATTTGTCGAGTAAAGGTATTCATCGGTGCTGGATCTAACGAATAGCACCGTTATCTGGCATATTCCCTCACCTTTTGTAGTCCCGCAGTTCCAGCAATTCCTTGGGAGCTGTAGAGAAGAAGAGGAAAATTCATTTACACCCTTTTACTTACAAAGGTAATAAGTAGGTGGTGAGCAGGTACCGTTCTCAATGAGGTATTGGACAACGTTAAGGCGTCCGAATTTGGCTGCATGATGGAGACCGGATTTTCCAGTGATATGATCTACTACCATTGGTGAAAGTCCAGCCTCCAGTGCACTTTGGACGCCCTGGATGTGTCCAGATCGGCAGGCAGAGAGGTAATCTGCATTTAAAAAAATGTGATTTTTACAGTTGTTAAGGCGTATTATCAAGCTTTAAGCACATCTTTTCAGTACAACTGCTCAGATAAAAACGCCCCATTAAAATCAACGAGATTTTGAGGCTGAAGGAACCTCTGCGCTATGCTCCGAATTCACTACCCCACCGTCTTCTCGTAAATGGAATGACACTTTTGATAGTTAAATGACAAATCTTGTATCTTCGTGGATTTGTCGTCGATAACAACTGAAAATGTTGACATCAATGCCCAGGACGGGGCGGAGTACTCAACTACCCTAACTGCGCTTTATAAACTTGAATTTCAAATTGGCAATTCATTGCAAATTGGGTGAAAATGAAGCAGGAACGCAATGATATGATCTCCTTACACGCCTGGAGTTTATTCTTAACGAGACCGTGAAAATTCAGGGCGAAACCCGGATCACTGGTCACAGAGATCTTCGCCAACGGTATATCTCTTGCATGCGATGGTGTTTCAGCCACTGAACTCAGGCAGTTCAGTGACTGGACAGGATTGGGCGCCACACCAACACTACTCTCCTTGATACGTTTGGAGGTTGCCAAAGAGACTAAGATTTTCGGAGGCATTCTACGCCAATGTCGCCAATCGGGAAAACATCCGTATTGGGTGGAGGCAATGGAGGAAGTGGTGTTAGCTCCATCGTTATCAATGTCGTCTGGGGCGCCTCCGTCTTCGTCATAACGGTTACGATATTCAGCCTGGGGGTAGACACTACTAAGGCCTTCCGCAGTCGAGTCGCTGAGGTTGGGACAAGAGAAGGAGGTACCCAAATGTGCGGTGAAACTGACTTTCTTGAAGACCTCCCTTCGATGGAATTCCGCGGAACTGGGAAAAATAACACATTATCTGCTTTTTGCAAACAAATGGCCTACTTAAATACTTGTAAGTAGAAAATAGTGTTTCACGTTTCACGAACAATGATTTGGGGCTCATCCGAACGTTTACTCACAGTGATTTGTGTAGCAAAATCCGCTTCATTCGGTGTCCATGACCAACCTGGATTAAAACATCAAAAACTATAGCAAATGTAGATTTGAAGAAAAATTAGTCAGTTTTAAACGTACTTTTGCGTTCACAGGACCGCAAATATCCCAAGGTATTTGTGAACTATCAGACGTTTTTCGTGAAATATCTGCAGAAATTTTGAGGAAAAAATGATACGGTTTCCACATTATAATTGCGAACAGATCGATCTTTTTGTCCTTAATATCATTTAAAAAAAATACTTGCCTTCTGAAAGAAAGAATGGACCAACACTGCAGCTCTTCTCGTGCATTCCGTCCTGACTAATTAGAAACAGCTCATTGTCATTTGACAAAATGTCTGTTATAAAATGCGCCGATTCCATGTGTGGATCGATGCCATATACCTGGCCGTTGATGGCTGTCACTGCCGCAAGAATAATTATAAGATGAAAAGACCACATTTATTTGCAAAATTCCAACAGCAATACTGACTTACAGTCCAAAAATATCCACTTGCTGGGAAGGGAGACAGCATTGCCACTGGAATTGGGTGGATTTCGCGAATGTTTTATCTGACGCCGCACTGCATTGAGGTCAGCGTAGGCGCCTATTCGAAGGCTGGCAAAGCGTTGAGCTGTGCGCAGACAAAAAATGCATTTTTTAACAAGAACTGTAGCATCTAACCGGAAAAGCCTCACGTTTCCCACACGAAGGAATCGTAAGACAATCACCTCAACTGTAGTTTGAAGGTATTTAGCGAGCAAGGTCATAAAATACCGGGTAAAACACTTACCAGTTTTGCACAGATGGTCAAGTGATTCGGGGACCTCGTTATGGCCGGGGTAGATAATGTAAATTTTTACCAGTCGACCACTTGCGTCAAAACTAAAAAACAATTTCGAGTGGTTAACTTGATCACCCGATCCGGAAACAATCGGCTAAGCTGTCACAGTGAGTGCGGTGATGGTAGGGCGCATTCTGGCTTGAGGCAATGGGTTATCGCGACACAGAAGGAGGCTTTCGAAGGAACCAATAAGTCCATTCACTTATTATGGAAAAGTTGTAAATGTTTCCGTGATTAAAAGTGCAAATTTTAATCAAAATGGAGAAAATAATTTCCAGTTCAACCACCGCCACCAGAAAAAGAAAAAAACGGTTTTTCTTCACATAAAAAGTAGTTAATAAGGTGAGGAAAAAGTGGTCATTAAATGGCAAAATGATTGTTTCAGTTGTTAAAGTGATACAAGAGCATGTGAAGCTAGCTTATCAACAAAATGATGCGAAATATCGTGTAGACTTGACCGGATTTTTGAAATGGGGCAAAAAATGAGGCAAGTTGGGGAAAAGATACGTCAGTACACCCAAAAAGAGACCAAATGAACAAATTTAAACTGAATTAACATTGGACTGTGCGTATTACTTAGTATTACTGACTATGCTAATTTAATGGTGTTATACTACTTACATGACTTCAGTTTGTTTAATGATGAACTTAAGAGTGCTGCACTATTGAGAGAGGAAAGGGTGGAGACTCACTGAGCTGGCGAACTGCCTTCAACACGACGTGTCTTTTGCACAACGAAGACTTGATTGCACAACCGAATGTCGATGGTTGAGGGAGCAAGACGACATGGCTCACCATCTATCTGCATTGGAATGGTCTTTCTGGTGATTAGATGGGCCTCGGAACACTGACAGATTCGGTCACCGTGGCCACCCATTTGTAAAGTTGCCTAAAAACAGTAACATCGATGGTTTCTAAGGTAATTTATCCGTGGAATTGACTTCAGTGGGAAAAAGTCTGCGCCGCTAATGACCTCAAATTCTCATGCATTTGCAGTAAAGGTACCTCTAGACTGGTTTAGGCGGATGTCTTCAAAGGTAGCTCAGTCGCTACACTACATGTCCGATACCACCTGTTCCTCGTGAAAGACAATGAAGACTTTCAAAGACACTCCAAAGTACGACTTACAAAGAAAGGCATGTGATGTGGCAGAATACGCAAGCACAAACAGAAGGGAACCCATCCAAGCTTGTAAGAGGCAACGCCGTAATCGAACTTACAAATTTTTACACTGTGCTAATCCATTCACCCAAAAACTGTTACGAGTGATGTGGAAGTGCGACGACCACAAAGAGTCAAAATGATATCTGTTCTAACTATGCAGGGATACAACAAGACTCCGCATCGTCTTGCAGTTTGGTCTCTACGTTGGTGGCATGAAGGTCCACAGCTGATAGTTGGATAAATACTCAAATCATTTTAACAGGTAAGCAAAACTCAAAAAAGGAAAAAAGTGATAAAATATAAAATTTTCCATAGCAAAACGCACTAATGTGGCTGTAGTTAGGCCAATAACTTCCAGCTTCTTATCATCGATACTTTGCTGCAGCTCAGGGTCGGAGGAGTGACCCCACGGATCAGTCCCAGCACTGTATCTGAAAAGAACCGAAAAATATTCCAAAACGGGTACTTTGTGGCAAAAAAAATTATCCTTTCTAAACGAACATTCCTGCAATTGATTGACTAACACCAACCAATCAGTGCAGAGAACCAGTTGTGAATTTGTGCCGATCGCCCAATTAGGTACGTGCAAGATTTTTCTTTTCCAAATTCTAACTATTAGAATGAGTAAACTGAAATCTCTTTTTTTCAACTTTGTTATACAACTTAAAATTTTCGGATGTACAAACGGTAATTGCTATTGCAGCGATATTTACTGGAGTTAAAAAGGATCCGCAAAAATTTCGAATCAATGAGAACATCAAACAAGAAAACTTCTCAGCGTTAAAGACCTACTTTGGAATGTTCAAAAATAGCAAGACATGTGGTCGCAGTTCCTTCAACTTGTGGCTCATGTCCACTCCGTCGCACTAAAATTTAAAAGGAGGAAATTTTTAAGGTGAAATAGTCTACAAGTATCACCACTAATGCAAAAGAGTAGCTACAAGCCCCTGTTCCGTGCCAATACGGCATTAACAAGATGAAACAATATGCCTGTAAATAATCCAGGTCCTTGTCACGGTGCCGTAGAAAAGAGGGAAAATAAAGAAGGGAGAAGATCTGCTTATCTTTAGCGATCTGGCGACACACCTCATGTCTCACTCGGGGGCAGCAGCTACATGGCATCTGATTGTGTTAAGCTTTTGGTCGTTTTTTCCCCATTCCTTTTTTGTGTTGGTGCAAAAAAAGGTGAAAATGAATAGAAAGAAAGAAACTACCAACCTCAAGAGTGACATAGTCGGAGAGATCTCGCCACGACCGGCGTATTAAATCCATTCCTCCGACCTGTGGAAAAAGAACAGCAAAAGTCATTTGTTTTTCCCCTCTAACAAAAGATGCCCGAAGTAATAAAATATTAATGAGATAGCGGTCATACCCCAGCGTAGAATATCTTATTCTTCAAGCGACTGTTGAATCGGTCCGGATTAGCCTCTGCGAGGAAGGGGATAAAAAGGAGGCGGAGAAAAAAAACAAAAGTGTGAAGTAGAAAACTCTTTCAGTTGTATCGCCTATCATTAGAAAAAAAAAGTTATGTTTTTAGAGAAGCCAAGAGCCGAACTCCTCATAATGCCATTTTGGTTAGTGCGGGGGTGGGGGGGAAAGAGACGGCGCCCTTCCCCTTCTCCCTTTTTTCTGGTACTGCGGACCAAACACCCATAATTAACGGGATGCCGGTAAATGTAATTAAAGGCTAATTATTTATTTACCTTTTTGCCACCCCTAAGACCACAAAAACATTTTATTTCACGAGGAGGAAGAAGGTGAAAAGGTCAGAAAGGTAACCGAGGAGGCGACAGGTCAAAAAAGTCAAAAAAGAAATAAGCTTCTTCAGCAATGGCAAAAGGATCAGCGAAAACTTTTTTTCATCTTTCGCCTTCCTTCTTTAAAAGAAACACTTACTTCATTTTTTCTTAAAAAAACAAAGCTCCTTCAGACATGGGAAAGCAAATGGAATGTCAGAGTAGTGATACATTTTCCAAAATTCACGTATGAAGAAAATTTCCATTTTTGCTTTTCAGGGCAAAAAAGGGGGGCAGAAATTTTAAAATCCCACATTTTCACTGACAGGTTGGAAAAAAGGTATCTCAAATGATAGAATCTCTCACCCCCTTTGAAGAGGGCTAAGTGGGTGCTCCGATGGGGAATGGGGGGGGGGGAGAGCCACGGCTTTTTGCAGAGGTGGTAGTCATATCCTGTCAAAAGGGATCATTTACTGCATACAAAAGGTCATTACTACTCCCGTCCGGTGTGACACCCCACCGAATCATTAGGCGGTAGGCAGGCACATTTTGCACTCGATGACCTTGACACCTACAGTTTAAAAGGTCACGATTTCTACTTTCCACCTTTCTTCTACATATTAAAAGTGCATTTTCTTAGATAATTACAAGACTGATTGCTTCCTATGTTTCATTATTCGAAAGAAAGTTGAAAAGATTTATCTGAAGCTCTATTTTCGATGTAGGCGATCTTATTACATCGTGGAGAGGATCAGAGGTGCAGTAGGGTAAAGACAGAACACCGAAACATCGACAGCCCATGTCAGATAAGCAACTCAGTGACTCACTACTTGTCAACAAATCTGTGACAATATTTTATTCTTCCTGGCGTTCTTGCTCGGAAAAATTAGGGAAAATCTGGCGTCACATATATGTGACACCGGTTGAGGACGTATTAGAATATGGTTTTAAAAAATTTGATAAGGAATTAACTTAAGCATTGGGCGAAATACCTCGGGACTCGTGGAATTCCAGCGCAGTAGCAGCATCAGCACCAAGAGAAAAGTAGTTGTTCATCACATTTAAGGGCAACTTATCCGACATTTGTACCCCGCCACCTCCACTAAAAGAAGACATCTCGATGTCGTCCTCGAGGTTGAATTCGGTTGAAGTGAGTGGGCGACTTTTAATGTTCCATCTGTCGAAAAAAAAGACAGTATCCAACAGGTTAAAGAGACAGCATAGAACAATCTGTCGATTAAGCCATGGGATGGATGGTCATCCGTCTACTGCAACCGCACAATCAGACGAAACGGTGGTGGTTAGGTAAGTGAGATGCAGGAACCGTTTTCTTCTGCCCTTTCCTCCACCAAGCCTATCGCTATATCGATGTTAACCAGGTCTTACACCGGTCAACTCACCGGTCCAGAAGAATGACGCGACCTTCTTCAACTGAAGTTAGGATCTTCGTCAACGGCTCGTCTACATAGCCCTGAAAGAGGTGTTGAAAGAAATTCCTCACCTAATTTATAAAGTTATACGACGAAAAGTGAGCCATCTCTTGCAACAATTGCGTGGAGGCCGTATTATGATGTAGGCAGTATTTTAACGAAATCTGCCTCCCAGGCGGTTATTTAAGCAATGAAGGAATTGTATAACCTTTGACAGGAGGCCAAAGGTCAATCAAAAAGGCGGGACTCCCATAGCCTAGACCCAAAAAACAAGTGGTACATCTAACTCACCGAACCCCATTGAAGAGTTCTGGCCAGGTCATTTCCAGTGCCTAATGGGAGAATGGCCACAGGAGGAGTGGGATGGAGATCGAGAGAATCGATTTCTGAGAGGATCCATCCCACAGTTCCGTCACCACCACAGACAAGGACACGGACATTTGGTAGACGACCAAATAACTCCAGACTGGAAGGTATGAAAAACATCCAAATGAGGGCAAAGGTAGCATGTTGATGGGATCACAATTTACCGTGATTTGTTAAAATAGATGGATGCGAGGAGGAAGGATGCTAAGAAATAGAAGCCGAATCTAAGGACAGACACGACCAACATTCTATCACCGCAGTTAAATGCTACATTGGTACATCTATTCCTCTAGCTGCTGTATGAGCTCCAGCACTGCGCTCTGGTCCACTTGGCGATGCGACGCGTCCTCCCGTTGGAGGACACCGAATAATCAGAACAGCATGAAGCCCAACATTGTCAAAAAAGAATCCTAAAAAATGACCCGAGCGTGAACTAAGGCCTCACAACAGCACCAAACTAACCTTTAAAACGAAATGTCAAAGTTGTCAAACCTGGGGTTAAAACATCTTATAGATACCGATCTAAGTTCATGTCGTTTTGGGACAGGGAACTGCTGGAGACGCCCTAAAGCCCAGGAAACACCCTTCGTTCAACTTTCCAGGGGTTAGCATTTCCACGACTAATCCTCGAACATTTAAGACGGTAGAGTAACCATCCCTCCCTCCTGATTGGCTGATATCACAAAGAGATGTGCTTTAAGGGGGCCGATAATCACTCTAAGGCCGAGATCGAGTAAGTAACATAAGCGGGCGAAACCTGGATAGGATCGCGTGTCGCCGACAGTTTCTATAATTTGGCCGTCCGCCAGATCTCACGCACACACACAACGTGCCTCCCAGGCCTGCTCGAAAGACAACGACACCTGCAACAAAGACCTCGCCTCCTTCTCACTTTAGCTGGGGGGCTCGACACCATCTAAGCTCACGCAACGGTCTATTTGACAGGCGAAAAAAAGTTGAACTGATTCTGACAGGATTTGACTGCTTCTGACAACCGATTGTCAGAACCGATTCCCTTCAACCCTTCAAGTCTCGGAGGAACGAGGGAAGGAGAGCGGAAAAAATGAAAAAAAATTAGGTGCCAAATACTTATATTCGAGCTCGGAGAAATTGTAAAAAATGTGAGTCTCGTTTTTTGGCTCAAAACAATCGACAGGGAGACAGGACAAAGAAACGGGCCTCACCTCTCCCTCTCGTCGTGTTTATTCAAAAGGTGCGAACAAGTAAACAAAGTTTGCTATCTCTTTTTGACAATTTGACAACCTGGAGAGAAGTTACTAGAACATTTTTTAAAAACTCATTCACTGCCTTGCCCACCCGTTTCCTCCTCCCCCCTCCCTTTAGTCCTACTGAATGTGGTTCGGCACCATGAAATTCACCTGACTTTTTTTTCTTTTTTCCCGACCCTTGATACAAAAGTATAAAACGATGGATAATGCTTCATTTTATGTCTGGTAAAGAACACTCAAGAAATTTTCGGTTGCGTTGGGAGGGATGAGAGCGAAGGCAGACTAGTAAGTGACAAGAAGCCTAAATGGTCCTCTGCCAGGTCTCATTGCTTTTAAAATTTAACCAAAAGGAGTAATTCTCTATCCACCTTTGGCATTTTTCGTGGTCAAAGAGTGGATTTGTGTATGCCGAGGAGGCACACTCGAGTTTAGAGTTCATCTAAAGGTTATTTGAAATATTTGAGAATTACCTTACTGGAGTAAGAATTGTGAAGCAAAGCCCTAGAACTGCGGCGCGAGGGGATCACAAGAAAGCTAGACGAGACCAGCGGATCTGGCTTCAAACAAGAATGACAAGTGTGTGGTTCTCAAGTTAAATCAACTGGAAAGTCAACAGGAGGGAGCACTCATTTATAACCTTTGAGCTTTGAAGTCAAACGGAACACCCATCCGCCCATTGGTTCACCTGTTAATTTGTCCAGTCATTCATTAAACCTTCCAAATCTGTTTTTTCTTTTGTCCATCCATCCCTCCGTCCTTTCTCTCATCCACCTCTTCGTCTAGCCATAAATTCAAAACTTCAACAACTTCACAACTGCCAACGATCGGCACTATCCGTAACTCACCCCAATCTCGGTCCTCCCTCGGTAAGACTGAAGATCTGTCGCGGATTCAACAGACCCTGGAACTTTTTCAACAATTTCACACCCTGATTTCCTCCAGCTTTGGGGTTGATAAACACCACAAGAGGACAGGTGGCACTTCGACATGACGGTTTCACCACGAAAGGAAAGTCACACGTGGCCGAGGAGACGGGCCGTGGAGAGGCAAGAGGAGAGGGGAGGCGGGAGAGACCGGTAGCTGATGCGCTGGTCGTTACGACAAAGTCACCTGTGAAGTTTGAGTTGTGATGACGGTTATCAAGGACCTCTACAGATGCCGAGGGCTTCAGCGTTACAGGCGCCAGGCTAAAAGCGGGATTGGAGGGGCTGCGACAGAAGGATACGTCTTTGGAGGCCTAGGACGTTAAAAGCGGACCCGATTAATTTAATTTTTACGTACTAAAAGAGCTCCAAAATAAATAATTATTTTTTGGGAAAAATTCCAACACTGATGAGAGGTTGAATGGGCGGATTGACACAAAGATATCGAGAAATTTGAATGAATGGAAGAAAAGATGAACAGATAAACAGATGATGGAAGTGAAGGGTTGGTGATTGCGCAGCTGGAAAAAAACTTGAGGGAAAAAAGTCACACATCGATGGTACAATTTCCGAAGTTCGTTTATTTAAACAATTCATTGGGATGGCCTTAACAATGTTCAAAAGGGAAAAGAATTATTCTGTCTTTTTTTCAAAGCCAAAAGTTCTGATGACTTAGTGATCCAAATGACCTTGGGAAGGGGGAAATTACAAGTTAAGCTCAATTTTAATTTCACAAAGATGTCGAAAACAGCATTTAAAGGTGGTTGAACAATGGGGGGCCACTTCAGCAATTTTGAATAGTGTAAGGGAGGAAGAATTAGTGAAAGACTTGTCTTTTAATCTTGGCTTTTCTACAACAGATAATTGAATAAAATTGACGTGATTTGCCGGGGACGAAAAAACTCCCCTGCCGGAAATCATCTTTCATTACCACAGTAGCCTTTCAAAATCAGCCTGGAAAAAACCTCTGGTTACTTCAAGTTGACAAGATGACAGCAAAAAGGTGCAGTCAATGGGGCGATTGTCTTTTCCATTTTTGACCTTGCAAATGCGTTAACTTAAATAGACTTCTACCACCGATACAAAAACGAAGAAGAGAACAAGGTAGTCGAACGAACCATCTCCTGTTCGATGCAGTTTAAGACATCCAATGTGGATGTAGAATCAAAAGGAAATTTACTTTGACTCATCACTCCGTATTCTAATTTTGCATGGGCAAAATTATCAACTTTTTCCAAAAGAGACCTATGATTGAGTACAAGAAAGTTTCGTGTTACAAAAAGCGCACTTCCAACAATTCTTGAAAATCAAAGTCGATTATTCCTGAGCTCAGGACAAATTTATGTGAAGGTAACCGATCATAGGTGGAGAAAGTGCTCAAGACAACTGGTCACATTTTACTTCTTATCATGGTACAGAGGTTCTCCTTAAAATTTAATGTCTCGTAAATAGAAAATAGACAAAAATGGGCCGATAAAATCCCATTTTAAATAGAGAGCACTTAACCAATCAAAATTGATCCTTGTGCTCAAACTAGGCCAATAAACGCTGGTAAAGAGCCTTACTAACTCAAACTATCTAGGACGAAAACACTCCAGCGGTGGTGTTACATCTTTGTTCTTCGATAAGGCGAAAATTCCATTGCTTATTTGTAAAAATCCACAGTTTAAAGACAATGGCTTTGCATAGCATTTTGAGGATTTCATTGGTTGACCGTTCATACCGTGATTGGCTGATAGCAGATAACTGAGTAGCACACTAAATCGTGATTAGTTACTAGAGAGGCATGACTAAATTATTCAATTAATTGGCTAAATAAAGATTAATAATCAAGAACTTGTAAAAAACTTACGCAAAAAACAGCAATCATTCGATATTCTTATTAAAAATCGGCATTCTAATTTAAAAACCTATTAAGTTCCCTAGTTAGAATGCTACGATAACACCAGCTAGCGGGAATGAAAGCATTTTCCCGGCTAAAGGAAAAAGTCGATTTTTGCTCCC